TTGTTGGAATATTTCTACGTGACCCAATTTAGGAAGACACTCAAAATGAAAGGTCATTCTTTATTTATCTGCTCTGACATTGCGCTAGCATAGTTATTTTTAGCATTGTATCTTTAGAAGGTCGCAGGTCCTACCTATTCTGTGATATGGTAGTAGCAGGCGAGTGTACGAGGCGCAGGCGGAGTCGATGACCGAGTATTGATCCCAGCGAAGTGGGTCGCGACCCGTTTCCCGTTGCAATACAAACGGGTAGGGCTGCACCGCTTGTCTCGTCTGACGAGATTATCCTACTTATGCAGACGTAACTAAAACTGCCCCAAAAACTGTTGCCAATGCTACTAGAACCAAAATACCACTCTTCGTCATATCAAGGCCTAAATACTTTGGAAGAAATAAATTGTCATAAAATATCCAAATGGCACGCGATTATTTATCTAATTTCAACAAGTATGTCAATTTTAATTGTTACCTTCCAAACAACTAAATATTTTATCATTACATTCTTATTTTGGAACTACATTCCGATATTCAAGTCACGTAAATCCGCGATAACCCGTAACCGGTACGATTTTATTGCCTGATACAAACATATCCTTTTCAAACTTTATCGAATTTTATGTATCTACCTATGTAATGTACATAATTCCTATAATTATGTTGCTTAATAAAATTAAATTAATGTAAAAAAATTGTCCATATAAAGGACCTGAGTCCAAGTAATAAAAAGGTTATATTTAGTTCTTATATTATAGATGCATAGTAGATACTATCCTCGTGCAGTTTCAGTTCATGCAGTTGAATCGCATCGTCTATGCAGTATGCAGCGATGCGTTTTGTGGGTGTTCTCGATAGATTCACGTTGCCTTTGTGAAAGTTGATTTGCACGAGCCCCCCTCCATCCAACTCTGCTGCACAAAGAGCTCGGGTTACATTCACTTTCCATTGACGGAACGTTAACCCTACAATAACACATCTTTATATATATAATTCTTCTGTGAGTGTGTATGTCACTGAACTTCTCTCAAACGACTGGACCGATTTTGATGAAATTTTTTGTGTGTGTTCAAGGGGATCTGGGAATGGTTTAGATTCACAATTTGAATAATAATTTTCATCAAAAAAATTATTAAAAAAAGTTTGAAATTTTCAAATTAAAGACGTGTAGACAGGACAACGTCTGTCGGGTCCGCTAGTATACTATATGGATTTGCATTGTCTCGTCTTATTATTACATTATAATTATACCTTTATTCGTATGTTATGTTATCGAAAATGTTACGTTACATAATTGTGATATCTTATATTTATAAATTATTATCAAAAAGTATAAGTATTTACGATAAACATCAGGGATTTTTTTCATTGGAAAATTCTCGATAGGTTATCGTCGTATCTCTTATATACATAATATGTACTCTTTTTTTATCTTTCAGTGATCTTAAATTGTCAAAAGAATTGTGGAAAAATATTATTTTTGGAATTGATCCTAATTTATTTTATTGTTGTTTCTTAGAAGTTTTAATTGAAGAGGCCGACCTTCGGGGCAATTGTTATTAGCGCAACGTGATTGCGGTTGTGGCAGTCTTATTTATATTTTGCTTTGCGATTCTATTCATATTCTTATATGGATTATCATAAATAAAATTATATTTGATTAAACTTGGTTATTATCTATATACTGTTATAAAACTGTAGAGGTCGAATGTCAGTACATAGATTTTTTTTGCTAAAAACCGAGTCAGGGGGGTGTAAGAAGAGAAATAGAACAAATCTAGATTTTTTTCAATTTTTTTGTTTTTCTGTCTGTTTGTTTGTACGGGCTAATCTACGAATGTATTGGACCGATTTAAATGAAATTTTGCATGGTGGTACCTTAAATAGAAAGTAAGACTTTTTATTATATCCAAGTTTACTACTACAAATTACAATAAACCAAGAGATGTCACAGTTATATGTATAGGGAAGAATGTACAGTATCTCATATACATAAATTATTATAAGTAAGAAAAACCGGTTAAGTGAGACTCGGACTCGCACACGAAGGGTTCCGTACCATCGTTCAAGATACTGTTTTTCAATATTTTGTAAAAGAAACAAGAGAGGCGCTTTAACAAAATGTATTTTTTTTATTATTATTGCTAATAGGACTGAACACACTGACCAATACCAGCATAATCAAGTTTTTTTTTTTATTTTGCATGGTGCTCTCTTTGAACTTCGCCTTCTTGGTTTTTTATTATTTGTTGTTATAGCGATAATAGAAATAAATACACAGTCTGTGAAAATTTCACCACTACCTATTACAGTTTATAAAATCAGTCCGCTGATAGACGGACGGACAGTGTAGTTTTAGTAATAGGGTCCCGTTGGAACCCTTCGGGTGCGGAACCCAATAAAGTAGCTAAATTGAGGTATAATAAAACTATTTAAGCTAGGTACATTGTAATAACTTATTATTTGGAATATGCGTGCAGGTTATTATTAGTCGTGGGAGTTGCGAAGTTGAACAATAATGGCTAGAAATTGTTTGTGCAAGGAAAGCACGTTGTTGTACAGAAACGTTGCCACGTGTATTGGTCACGTGGGTCGCAATGAAACAGGCAGTTATAGATTGCAAGCCAAGAAAATTTTTCATAGGACAAACTTTATAGACTTTCATAATAAAGGTTACGTAAGACTAAGATTTCATCTGTATCCAAGTGTGCAATACTCTTGCGGTCTAGGTGCAGGTAACAAACGCGAAGGCAGTTGTTAATTTTACAACAATTTACTAATATTACAATTTGACATCTAATAATATATTATATAAAATAATACATTTTTTTTATTTAATAATAGTATAAATAGTACATTTTATTATTTAATAACATTTTACAAAATTTATAGCTGTGTTGTTTTTGTTGTTGCTATGGCTATGGCTTGTTGTTGGAAATATTGCGTTGATTTCGATTTACTTATTTAATGTCAGTACCAACTACCAAGCTTGGCCTCGTTCTATTTTTGCACAGTTCAGCATTTTATGACCTGAATAACTTAAAAGAGAAGTCCCTTAGAGGTGATGCGCGTATATGATCATGCAAATGCAAAAATGCATGTATAAAATATAAGCAATCTAGCGAACTCACCTTCGCTTCGCTCGGGTTCGTCCCTAGGTACGTTTGCAATTTAAATGGATATAGTATGTTATCCCTAAGAGATAGACATATGCATTCGCGGACTTTTCTGTAGACCTATATAAGATACACAATTCCACCATATATTATTTTGTTATACATATCTCAAAGGGTTTAGGCAGCGTTTTCGTTGAAAGCTCCCAGAAGGCTTATTTTTTTCCGACACTTCCAACAAATATCGTTATATTTTAGTCAATGTATACAAAAACTTGACAAATTGTATATAAAACCTTCCTCGAGAACCACTATGCATTGGTGAAACGGCATGAACAGACAGGCAGACAGACACGGCGGAGGACTTTGTTTTATAATATGTAGTGAAGTTCACATGTACCAATAATATTCAATATATAACATTTTGTTGTATATAATCGTAAATATTTTTTTTATATAAATAAGACTTATACAATGTAATTCGTAGCTTATACTAAGATCTAAATATATAAAGGTAAGATATTCAGTTTCAAAAACTATACCGGGACCAGATCTAGTTTTTTATTAGGTATTAGAAAGTAGGGATAGGAGTACTTTCTTGAATAACTAACGCTCGCTCGATAGAGAGTCTAGAGGCTCTTCTATTTTTATAAAGTGTACTAATTTTTTACATTTTGTTGGTAAGGTCAATCAATATAATTGTTATCGGTTTTATCTACACTATATTAAAACTGTAGAGGTCGAATGTCTGTACATAGAACAAAAATGTTAAAAACCTAGTCAGGGGGATGTAAGAAGAGAAATAGAACAAATCCAGATATTTTCAATTTTTTTGTTTCTCTGTCTGTTTGTCTGTTTGTACGGGCTAATCTCCGAATCTATTGGACCGATTTAAATGAAATTTTGCATGGTGGTACCTTATATCCCCGGGCAACATCTTAGATACTTTTCATCTCGGAAAATTGAAGAGTTCTCGTGGGATAGTTAAAAAACTATAATAACTTATACAGCTTAGTACACAAAAACTACAGATTGGATTTTAATGAAACTTTACAATAATATACTTCATACATGACAATAACAAACCGGCTACTTTTCATCCCGGAAAATTAAAGAGTTCCCGTGGGATAGTCAAAAAACTATAGTAACTTATACAGCTTAGTACACAACAACTTATGCACCTAATTTAGTAAATTTTGTCATACTGATACCTTATATTGCCGGTCTAACAACAAGTTACTTTTCATCCCGGAAAAATGAACGGTTCCCGTAGGATATATCCGTTTGTCCTTTTCTTGAGGCGAACCCGAGCGAAGCTAGGGTGAGCCGCTACTAATAAATATTTACCGATAATTACAATACTAAACGTTTTTATGATGATAAATAGAAAATTCAAAATATGGAGGTAGTAGAACCATTAAAAATCAATTTCACGGTGAGCATTCGCAATATTGAGGCTTCGATACCTATGACATTATAGAGTGAATTATAACGGCATTTGAACTTTCTATAAATTTAGATAAATGGATTTGTACTTTGCGAACAGTGGTGCAGCTGTGTGGGAGTTAGGTCGGATTCTTTCTCGATTTACTATTATTAGAATACAGATGTCGACCACTAATGGAATTTTCTTGTACCGTATTGTTGGGACTTTACCCATAGATAATACTTTTTTCTTCAGACTATTTCAGCACATTTCACCATTCATGACGAATTGTTCTTTACATCTAAATATCCTTCCTTTATCATTATTCAGTGCCTATGTTTAGAATTGTTTAGTCTCGCTCCCGTCGTAAAATATTGTTAATGGTAACTTGCAAAGCTTCAGGTTCCGCTGCTGTGAAAAGTTAGAGCGATAAGTTAGTGCATGTGTGCGTTGGTGAACTGTAGGCGATGTGTAGCGATGACGCCATCGGCTGCCGTCGCGTGACGTCGCTCCGCGGCCGCCTGCCCGCCGTCCGCCAGTCTCTGCTCGAACGCGGCACGGACCGTGTAGACCCGCTGCGATGTGAACGCCTAAACCTAGACCTGTCTACAACGGCAGCTTCTGTTCAGAGTTCATCGTGTTCCGAATAGTTTTCGTTCGTGTTATATTAACTTTTTCATTTCGCAAACTCTGAGAGTCATATTTTCATCCATTAAGTGGAATTATATGTAAGTGACGTTTTGTGTCATCATTAACCTCGGTGCTCTGTATCGCTGACACGTTTAGGAAAGAGTGCTGTGTGACGAAAGTAACTATCCGGGATTAAATAAAAAAATACGTTGTCCAATTTTGTAGTTTGGATATGGTCAGAATAAGCGGTCAGGTAATATTACATCGATGATTAGATTCAAAAATGCTTCCCTTGTTTTTGCATTTTGGCTAGAATTTTTGACATTCAACAGGTGGTTTGACGACAGTAGGTTTCTATACTTCAGTATACCCAACATTATCACATAATAATACACATCCCATAATATATTTTTTTATGCATATTATTGTAGAAATGCATTTGACATTTATTTAAATAGCTCTACATTTGTCGAATTATTGCACAAATATAAGTAGTTTCTATGCCTTATATTCCTTGGCTTATACATACAAAAGCTTTTTAAATAAAGGAATGTGAACAGTAAATAAGCTTGGATAGTTCAGTTTAATTCCATTTGATTACCTCGTTTTATTGTTAGACTAGTGTTAGAGTGCACTTAGTTTTATTAATGTAGGTGACCACCCACTTGCGACTCCTGGGAATTCTTCGCGCAAATCGTAGTTCCCATTATTTTCTTTATTGTATATTTTATCTAACACGATGCACCTTTAATTTATTGCATTTGCTTCTTCTAGACTACAATGTGAATAATCGATCATAGAAAAGTAAAATATACATTTCACGGACATTTAAAAACATTGTGTGATGCAATCTCCCAAGATATGTATATTAGATTAGGTAAACAATTTATTATGTTACTATGTAGTTGTTTTGCGTTTAAATTGTTAATTGTAATTAGATAAGTATATAATTATTATTTATCTATAATTGATTAATCACATTTTTCCTTTGAATTTAGATACTGACGCTCAATTTTTATTCTCATATCCTCTTTATATTTTGATAAAAGTCAAAATATAATAAAATATTCAAATATGTATGTATATAAATATTGCTTACTTAAATAATTCATCATTGCTGAAGAATTAATATCTGTCGAATAAATAAAAGTGGTTTATTTTAGAATTTTGACGACCAATGAGCTAGTAACGCTAATGCGAACAGGTCTATCGTGACACAATAATTTATATGGATTATAATGACATTGATAGCGGATACCTTATCGTCCATCTTGGGTGGCACTACGTGACTAAGTTACAAGCGGTCACATATGAATAGATGGATTACCTTTCAGTCACCGTTTCTCCCGAGATAAGACACGAATTTGATACAATTGTTTTATAAATATTGTACTGGCTTATAGAATGAATGTTATCGTAAAGCAATATTTAAATAGTTATTTGCATTATAGTAAGTTTACTTTGAAGAATCTATGAGTAACATTTGATCCGTTTTAATAGTGAGCTGGTATTGTTAGGGTAGGTTATGTTACCTACTTAATATATGCTTTTTGCAGCCCATTTTGGCATTTACTACACGACAAAAGCTAAGTTCTATCTAACTTTGGAACAAATTATTAATCACTGATGAGCCTTTCAGAACTTTAGAGGCTTCACACAGATAGATTGACAGACACGACTATTTCATTTATATACCTATCTATAAATACGGAAAATAGTAAGAGAAAATACTGTATACGACAGTTGTGAATCAAGGCTACGTTAATTCCTAGAATTACGAGTAATAAAGCTGAAGCAACTCGTAAAGAACTAAGTGCATCATAGTACAGTAGTTGTGGTCGGGCGACCTCGATCTGATGTTTCCGTAACCGTTCCGTTGGTATATATTTTCTAATGTAACTTTGTAATATTGAAGAATTGTTCTAGTTTTGTTAATGTACTGAAAGTCGTTAAATATTTAATAGGTTAACTCCAAAGACTAGTTGACTCCTAGAAATAATCGATATGGCTAACTAATAAATGTCAGAATGACGCGTTCTGAATACTGACATATTGCGTACATAGGTATGTGTCATTTTCATACATTATCATTTATAGTGATTCTAGAATGTCGTCTTTCTCTTGCTGCTTTGAGTTTCATTTAACAGTACCTACAAGTATATTATATTATAGTATGTTATAGTATATTTATTTTAGTAATATTAATATATAATTGTACCACCGCGTACTTTTGGCATTGATATGACGGAAGAACACTTGAATATAAGTTATTGTGTCTTTTTTAGAAAAACAGATAAAACACGAAATTAAAGCTTTCAAATAAATATATCTGTATGTAGCACAAATATAAATACATAGATTATGTTATAGTATGTCCTCGATGTAAATTGTAAACACAATGTACAAACACAATATGCAAACAACTCGCGTGTTGTGCCTTGCACTGGCCTCTGCGGTCTCGTTTGCCATATGTTTGCACCGACCGACCGGTAAACATGACGGTGCCCGCTTAACAAATGCAATTTTCGATAGATGGCATTAATAGAATAGAAGTTTCTAGTTATAGTATTAGCAGACAATTACATATTATAAAGTTAATAATTTTTATTTCTTTTTATGTTAAGACTTTTTAAACATTATCTTTAAATACTTGTACATATAATGTGAACACGAAAAATTATCAAGTGCATTTGTCAGTTAAAGTTGTTATACAATATGGCTCGACTGTCTTATTGGGGAGATACTAAAAATGCTAAACTGTCGTCTGCGTTATTGTTAGGTGGTCTGGAGCTCTAGGAGTTTATCGACCGTCGCGTCTGCTCACATTTTGGATCGTTCACCCTATGCCCTATGACTAATGAACATTCAACGTATTATTGCTTTATAACTGTTCAATTTTCTTAAAATTTTCTTAACTATTCTTATATATTATGCAATGTAAAAGAATAATTAAAACTAAAGTTTTGTTAAGCACTTCGCAGACATTAGTCATAAAATAGAATAATTAGGCCTAATGGTTTTACTAAGTAATTAAGGAAAATATAATGTTAATATCTGTACTAAAACCGGCAATTAATCTACCTGGAGATATAGAGCTGTCTAAATTCCCAACGCGAAATACGCACGTCGGCTATCTCCTGTGTTCTGTTTGGCTATGGCCCAAGTCTGGGTGTTTCTCCTTGAATGAATTTTAATGAAAATAAATATTTCTTAAATATTTCGTCGATCATCTCAACTTATAATCAACGCAGTAGCATTAAAAATTGCTTGGTGTTTAATATTATCCACTTGAGCTATAAGGATTGTTGCTATAATCTTCCGCTTAATTCTTTGCCAAATTTACTTTCGACCCCACTTTTTGCGCAGTTGCTGGTAACCCAGAAAATCCGCTATTTTTGTCGGATCGTTCAAAATAACAAAGAATCTATCATTCGGTTGATATTCAGAATCCCAATTTTTGACACATTTAAGAGTGTGCTACTTGTGATTGCTTAATGACATCGCCTTACTTCTCACGATACCGCTAATTTTTATTAGCGAAAAAACATTGTCAATAAGCATTTTGATACGCGAAAGTAGGTTAGAACGCGTATACTGCATAATCATGCTTATGTGATAGATCATAGATCATGAATTACCATAAACCTATCTTATATAAATATTTAGACCGGAACGAGTTATAAATAACACAAACAAACAAATATTTGAGCCCATTTTATTAATGACTGTGAATGAAGTGTAATTAGGAGCTATAAGGTAAACGAAACGTCACTTAATTATTTAATTTGGTTGCAGCTGGGCATCTGTTCTGTGGCGACATTGATGGAGTTCCGCTTGGACAGCGCGGAGTACTGCCAGGCCCAACACAAATAAACTCGCGGGCTTCCGTGGAGGCGAGGTAGCGAGCCACGACTAGACCCATGCTGCCGGGAGCGCGCGTCTCACGCACCCCAAGCACACAGCGATATACACCTACCCATTTGTAAGTTGCCTTATTGTTGTTCTTATTCTTCGAACTGATAAGAGAAATATTATGTTACTGATAAATACGCAAGTGCTTTGTTCTTCTCTTCAATCGTGTGTTATTTACAAAAATATTTTTTGTTTTTACATACATTATGGATGATTAAATTAAACAAGATTACACCGCATAGAGTGCTATCTAGAGACATATTATGCGATTTATTTTAGTATGTACAATGTACATACTATATCAATCTCAGTAGGTGAATTATGTGCGCTGCGGTGTAAACTCGATTAAGAGGTATTAATCAAAATACACACAACAAGTGTGTTGTTGCGCAGTGTTTACAATAATGTTATCGTTTTATGTATACATGCGATGTGAACGCGCTAACAAGTGATGCGCTATTGGCACTGGATCAGCGGCTCGCGAATGCCGCTGGTCGTGCCCGCTCACATGACCTAAACTTGGAAATCTGTATGCTATTTTTAAAAAGTTTTTAATTCACTTCAGTCGCAACTCGTCTCTTGCGCACGAACGCAAATATATAACCAATATGTTGTCTCCGCGATATTTCTGCAGCTTTCGCACGAACATACTAACGATGTACTTTTTGTTTCAGTTACCTTAAATTCGGATCCCACTATTAATTGGACCATATCATTCGCGGAACTCGCCAACTTATGTTTTTTCGCATAACTTATTAGTTTCGCTCACCAATTCGGAAGTTTTGTTTGTTAGTCGTCGAATGCGCTCAAGTGGTTGAAAGCGTCATCCATGCGGGTGGTTCTAATTATATAATTGGACCCTTTTTAAAGAGAAGCCACGAAACTGGAGTGTGTTGTGTGGAAATAGAGTGACAATTTGTCTTAGACTCTAAAGAATCGCTACTTGACGCGTTTGAATTTGCCACCTTGGTGCGGGTTTTTATCTGTGTATCGTGAGGTGAAGTAAAGTGGTCATCATGAAGCAGAAGGACATCAGGCCGGCGCCGTCTCTCATCGAGTACAAGAACATGCGCTTCCTCATCACCGACCGACCATCGGATGTCACCATCCAAGGCTACTTACAGGTAAGCAATATCAATTAATTGTTGTTACAGATTATAAACGATTTGTCGAGACATAGAATATGTCATAGTGTAATAACCAATAGTTCCGCTAAGCTATCTATCTAATATAATATTTTATCAAAGTTATATTAACTAAAATATACATATATTTAATAATATACATATTATGTTAAAACTTAAATATGTCATGAAGTTATTTTTGAATAAAAATATGTACCTAATACTAAATGCTATCACGATTCGTGAAGGCTAGTAATTGGATCGTATTATTCGAAGCGCCCATTAATAAAAGCGGTTTAAATTAGCAAAATTATATAGTTAGTATTCTAATCTACCTGATGTTTTACATCCTCTTATTCCTTAAACAAAATTCTGAAATTATTTTCGACCGTCATGCCTTTGATACGTCTTTCAGTCGAGTTATGACTAAGAAAATTGGCTTCTCAAATGAATTTCCTTATCTAAACTTGCCGAAAAAGGCAAGCACAGCGTCATCTGGTTAAATGTTTTATTTTCTTGTTTGCGCGCCCTCTTGTTTACGATATAATATGAATTTGTGTCGAGCAGCATCGCTTTACTTACCCAGAACGCTAGGTCATTATTTCGTTATAGTTTTTTTTTAACACCGACGGTTTTCTAAATTAATATTTCTGAAACCAAAATAGTTCTCAAAATTCAACGAGCATAATAATGAAAAACGAAGTACATTTTTAACTCTATAAGTCCTGTCGATTAGGGCGGAAAGTGGTGCCATTGTAACGCAGACAATGGCTGTACTTTTGACAATAAATCTCCATCCCCATTGTTAGAACGCTGCGCCTTGCAATGATATACAAACCTTAAGTCATGTTATCAAAGCGACTTGCCGAGTAATGTGCATTAGCTCTTGTCTAGTCCTTGTCCTCTTTGCGTTACTGTTGTCCTTCATGTTGGAATAAAAATATGCTTTCTGTCGCTGTTTAAAATTCTAAAATCTGATTCCATCTTATCTTCCGAATGACCCTGAATTAAGTTATCGATTAGTTTATTAATATGATAAAAGATAAATTACCACTTTGGTACGAAATTGACTTTTTTTTTATTTTTAAAATTATTCCTTTTAAAAGACCTTTTTTAATACGGCTAGTTTGTAAAAAGTATCTATAGAGTAAATCGAGCTGCGTTATTATTTATGATCCATTCAGTTTTGCTGGTACCAGAGAGAGACAATTGGAAATTGTTCAACTACTTATGGGAGTTTTGTAAAACTTATATAAAAGCTTCACTGTTAAATCTTTTAAATGTTTGTAATCAAAATAACTAATTTTCCTTTAGTTTGGAATGTTTTGGATTAAAATTACGTGTTATACGGTAAATATCGGTTTTTATATCCTAATGCAAAGACTTAAACATATTACTTGCAACTGATATAATCACATGATTTTCCCCGAATATCAAACATCTTTCATCATCAAGATAATTAAAATCACACATCTATTTTCTGGTAGTAAAAGTAATATAATTATGCTATAGTGTGTATATTACATTGAAATAATATTTTTTCCTTAGTAACAGCTAAAGTGACAAATTATTGTAGTCCCATATGGTATTTAAATTATGTTTATGCGAAAATCTTATTGAAATAGACATTATTATCGATACAGAGACCCAATCTATAGTTTTTAGAATTTTTGTCTGTCTGTCTGTCTGTCTGTCTGTTACCGCCTCACAGCAAAAACTACTGGAGGAATTTTTATTAAATTTGGTATGGTGATAGTTGGTTAACCGAATCAATATATAGGATACTTTTTACAAAAACTGCAATGTAAGAGTATACTCATATGTAAAACCTAAGAATTTGGATTTTGGTCATCTGAACGTGGGCGGAGCCGCGGGCAATAGCTAGTAATTTTTATAATTTTCACGGACTTTGATTTTGCTGGCATAAATTATGAGTCTAATAATAAAAAAATGTAAATGATAAATTATTTAACTCTGACAACGTCTATTGGGTATAAGATTTAGAATATAGTCATAAATATTTATGTTGCTAACGCTAAAGGTATTGTATCATGATTAAGTTTGTTTTTAAATTACATATTTAAATTTACTATAACAATATATTTAACAGCCTCGATGCTAAGGTGTCAATATCTGTTTATAACAAAACGGCAAATTATATTGATAAACATTAAATTACCTTGATGTAATCTTTCAATTGTAAAGCATACTAAGAAATTTGCCACGTTAGAAATTCTAGTCATATTATTTCCTAATTCTTAGACATTGTTTAATGTATTATCCAACCTTTATTTAGTACAGTATATTGAATTGAGTAGGAATATAATAAAAGAAGTTCTTGAATATATTATGATCGTTCATTAATTCGACTCTCGGTTTGGAAATTCAATGAGCGCACGTAAAATTCTCTTTGTTTTTGCGCCCCTTTCCTTAGCTTTTGGTCGACAAAGACTCCACAAGCGTATAATAATTGTTAGTTACACATAAATGTGCCATTTCCCGGAAACCCATTATTAGTCGCGAGGACAAAAGAGGTTTTAAGACTTTATTTTTTGTATTTAGTACATAAGAGATATATTATATATTTATTGGAAAAGATCGAAATATGTAAATAAATATATACAAAGTTCCCTTTTTGCTAACATTTCTCCATGTTTAGATGGACAGATGAATTTATCAATAATTCTACTTGAGTCGCTCCGGACCATAATCATTTGATTCTGAATTACATTATAGGAGCTGAGGAAGCACAACGTGTGCACGGTGGTGCGGGTCTGCGAGCCCAGCTACGACACGGCCCCGCTCAAAGCCGAGGGCATCGAAGTGCGCGACCTCGCCTACGACGACGGCACCTTCCCGCCCGCTAACGTCGTCGATGATTGGTTCGAGATATTGCGCGATAAGTGAGTACTTACCTTACATTACTTTATCTTCTATCTTTATAAGTAGAGTATTTTGCCTGATTTGAGTTATAAGCCCAATTAACGACTTACAATCGGTTCGCTCGGATGTGACTTTAGGTAGGTACTTTTTGTAATAATTACAAAACTAATAATAAAAATGAATAATATTAACAAAAACCCATTCTAAGATGATTTTTACACCCTTTAAAGAGTCTATATCAATGTCTGTTTCTTACTTTTACAATGACGAAATCTCTAACTCTACAAATTCTCCAATTTTTAAACTAAAAAGGATATAATATTTCCGTTGAATTAAAAAGTCGTCACATTTAATCATAATGATTTTTTCCAACTTTAGTCACCGTAAGCAATATAAACAAATTTTCACATAAAGTTCCAACCTATTTTTTACCCATTTAGGAGTTGAATTTTCATAATCCCTTCTTAGCGGTAATCTACTCCATAAGAGGATCTACCCGTTAAATGTCAAGTTTGTACCATTTATTTTCTGAGATTTCATTTGTTTCGTTTGAGTTATATTTCGCTTTTTAATGATACTGTATACTCAGTACTCACCCTCGCTTCGCTCGGGTTCGTCCCTAGGTACTTTTACCGGTTAGCATGGAATAGATTGAATATATATTATAATATATAGCCTTTAGCCTTTCTCAATAAACGGGCTATCTAATGCAAAAATATTTTTTCTAATCGTATTATTAGTTCCTGAAATAGCGCGTTCAAACAAACAATCTCCTGCCTCTTTATAATATTAGTATAGATTGTGTATTAAATCTAAGTGTGACGGCATGTTTTAAAATTGATAGATAGATCTACGAATCAAAAAGGCGATTGTGATAGTATATAAAATATGATTAGATAAGTCGTCTTTCTAGTAAATGTTTTTACATTTTTATACTGTTACTAAGCATCTAAGCGACCGAGAGCAACGCTCGGCGTTTTTTGTACAATCTTGTTTTTTTGGAAAAATTGGGTTTATTTCAGAAATTATGCATATATAGATAAACTTAATGCAAAACCTATCTAAATACAAAATATGTTCTAAATCGTTACTGCCGTTTTCGAGATACACGAAATAGATTTATATATAAATATACAAGAGTTGCTGATTTTATATTTTATAAATACATATATTAATTAATATATTATGCTGTGTTGAATTGCTGCGAATGTCTGCTCATTGTCTCACGGGATTAATAAACAATATCTATTGTACTTATTCATGTAAATCGTCACGCTTAATCGCTTTATTGTAATCTAATCGTAATTACAACTATTTAAATATACATCTATACATATAATAAAATTGTAACTAAGCCGAATCTGAACATTAGATATTTTTTGGAAAATCTTATTGAAATAATCATTACTATCGATACAGAGGCCGAATCTATAGTTTTTAGAATTTTTGTCTGCCTATCTGTCTGTCTGTTACCGTATCACAGAAAAATCATCACAGAAAACTGGAGGGATTTTGATGAAATTTGGTATGGTGATAGCTGGTTATCCGGGTCAACATATAGGATACTTTTTACCGCGGGAAGATATCTCATTTATAAGAAAAAATACGAAAACTGCAATGTAAGAGTGTACTAATATATAAAACCTAAGAAATTGGTTTTTGGTCATCTGGAACATATATTTTTACACGAGATAAAAACGATGTTAATTGTAGCAAATAACAGTAACTTTGATTTAATTAGTTTAATTTTCACCTTACGCCCATGTGATGGTAGCGAAACGGCCAAGCTACTGACTAAGGTGTAGAGTTTGTGAAGTTGGGCGTGTAGAGCTAGAAGCTCGGCTCTACATGAGATGTGGTAGTTTTTGACAGTGCCAGCCATATGGTCTCGTCTTGACAACATTTTACATGTAAATGTCTTTGGTGGGATAATAGTATATATTTTGTATGTTTCTCATATTATGTATTTTTAGGCTGATGATTATTATTAAGATTGAAGAATTTTATTGTTTTTGCGAGTATGTTTATTGTATATATTTATTTCATATGCAATTGGTTTATTTCTTAAACATACATTAACATGTATAATGTAGATATATGAATGTTGATATGTTTGTGGTTCTAGAGCGGCGAACAAGCCGGAGGCGGCGGTGGCGGTGCACTGCGTGGCGGGGCTCGGCCGCGCGCCCGTCATGGTCGCCATCGCGCTCATCGAGCTCGGCATGAAGTACGAGGAGGCCGTCGAGACCATCCGGGAGTAAGTATCTCATACATACACATACACACACACACACATACATTCATACATACATTTATACACTCACATCACACATTAATTCATAACATCGCGGTCTGTCCCTTGCGAAGTATAGTAAGTAATAGTGTCTAATTTTGTAATATTATGTTATTAAATTAGTGTTCCTAAAGTAGGCTACAGACGATAGGTTAGCAGCACAGTTAACTAGATCAATTAGCTAGTAGCAGTCAATTGTACAGTTTTGTTAGTAAGAATAATATGTATTCAGCCCTTTTTAACGTCCCACTGCTGGGGGTGGGCCTCTCTTCAATACGAGCGGGATCAGGCCATAGTCCACCACGCTGGCCAAGTGCGGGTTGGCGGACTTCACATATCTTTTGAAAACGTGCTCTGGTTCTCTCAGACGTGAAGTATAATATATGTATACATTTTTATTCCTTTGCAGTTCAACTGTACAGGAATAAAAAGCAATAAATTATACTTTTTATCTTCAAAACACTCAACATTATATGAATTCGTTGCCGCGTAGTAAATATTTTGCCCGTTTCTTTTATTAGATGTACCGTGTAAATGCAAAAAATTCAAAACAAACTTATAAAACACATAATAATTTGCGTCATGTAATGACGTTGTATCATGACTGTGATGAATATGCTCAATATATTATTTTAGTCATAATACATATTTTAGTCGTCTCCGATTAACTGCGATAAAAAGTACTTTGAAAATTAAAAATAATAATAAATATAAAACATAGTTTAAAACATTATATATTATTATTCCGATAAGAGATAAATTTCGCGTTTTTATATACAAAATATATAATTTCAAGGGCAAAAGCTATTGTCAGCACTCCATTATACATATGTTAAATTAAACATTGTGGTTTAGATATTAATGCGCATTGAACGCATGGATTAAGAGTTTAGATTTTTGTGTTTGCTATGTAGATTATATGTACCTTTAAAAAGTATTGATTCTATATGCTTATCTATGATAAAAAATCGATCGAGAGATATTTTAGTCAGTGCTGAATTCCCCTGGGCATAGTAAAAAAATCATTTATATTATTGTAATTTTAAATATAATTTTGAACGTAAAAATATTGGTAATTATTATTTTTTTGAAAAATGCAAAAGAAAAAAATTATAAATGATAACAATTTTTACCTTTTCCTTTACAAAATGTACCTACTTACTAGTTATTTTTTTTTGTAAACAAAAGCATTTTCGATAACGTGAAGAAAAAATTTTTCCCACATGATGTACTTATAATACTATCTAACAGAAACTGACGTGCATTTGAATTGTACTTCTAAATAGTCAAGTAAATTATAGTAGGGGATTCATCATAAACTTTATAGTCGATTTTTGCCGCCCTGGGCACTAGCCCCGAGTGGCTCCTAGTGGAAATCCAGCGTTGATTCATCAGTTCACATTTATATCATGTTCATTTATATTTTATACATAAATATTTTTTATATGATGTACTTATAATAGTATCTAACAGAAACTGACGTGCATTTGAATTGTACTTCTAAATAGTCAAGTAAATTGGACCGTACATATTTAATACTTTAGCTTTCGACTTATTTATGAATAATTACAATTTTACCGTTCTCTTAGTCTACAAGTTACAATAACCAAATCTCCGCATTCTTAATATTATAAATGTGAAAGTTTGTGAGTATGTATGGATGTTTGTTGCTCTTTCACACCAGAACGGCTGAACGAATCTGGATGAAATTTGGCACAAAGGTAGATTATAGTCTAGAATAACACACAACACATAGGCGGCTTCTTTTTATCCCAGAAAAATGTACGATTCCCGTGTTTAATATTTTTAACTCTTATGCCTTCTGAGAACTTTTATGTAACTAGACAGCTGAATCCGTAAATATTTCAAAGTGACTTTAAAGAAACATTGCACATATGGAAATATATCTGTATTCTATATCTAAGTATCTGTATGCACATTCCAGCCAGCGTCGCGGCGCCATCAACGCCAAGCAGCTCTCGTACCTGGAGAAGTACAGGCCGAAGTCGCGTCTGAAGAAGAACGGGCACAAGAACTCGTGTTGCGTGCAGTAGCCCGGCGGCGAATCGAGCTCTGCTTTCACACACACACTGACACTGGAGCGTACACGACTAACTAGCTGTAACTATCCACCCCCCTTTGACCTTTCGTTCCTAAAGATCATGACCAAAGCCCCAAAGCCCGTCTCACATTATATTGGTTTCTCGATGCATTCCCCTATAACTTTGTGATAACTTACTGAACTTAGCGAAACGTGTTATGAATTGCAAATGTTTTATATATTATAAATCGTCCATCTATCGAAACACACCGTTGGAACTGTTCACTTAACGTCCATACGTTTGTTTGGTTATGATCTTTAACTAAATTGTTTATTAATCAATGGTATTTTCTATGTAATTTGAGAGCCTTGTATCGTTTAGTAAGGTGTATACCTCTCGTGCTGTACTTCTTATTGTTAGTGGAATATGTTAGACGCAAGCCACTATTTGTGTTCACAGTCGACAGTCACTTGGGTATACTGATCATAATAACCAATGTCCATAATAAGCCGGGTCGGAGTGGCGCTCACTCGACATCTGACATCTCTTCACATTTATTTTTAATTAATTGTGTGTTAAAATCATGATATATTTTCCTAATTATTTTCTTCTTAGAGACATTTCTACCAATAAGAAATCGAGACATAATAGAAGAAATGGTTTTTGCGTTTCAGAGGCATGTGTCGTCCGACTTAAATAATTTTATGTTTAATTCTTATTTCTTATTTTTAATCAATCAGAATGTGCAATTCCTATAAACTATATTATCACAAATATTTTACAAACCTTTGACTAAAATATGAAATTCTACATATATCCTGACACAAATGATAAACTTGACTCACTGAATGTTCCAATGAAAATAGCTCTTTGATATTATTTTTCTATTTCTAATTTTATGAAGATAATCGAAATATATGATTGTGTAACCGCGGAACAGTCACATTCATAAATAAAAATATTTATAAGCAAATTAACTGATGTTTCATTTACTCTTAACTCCATTTATTGCTAACGATACCCTCGGTGAGGTTGTAGACAAAAAGTATTGTTAAATAATAACTTAAATTCTTCAGGATCTTCTTATAGATTATAATTTAAATTAAATTCTCGTTTTTTAAAAATCATTAAAAAAATATTTATTTCAAATTTTTGGCCCCTAAAAAAATGATAATTGAGCTCTATAGGGCTGCCGTAACAGAAATAGAGTAGCTATTTCAGATATAGATTTTTACGTGTTTGAGAGTTATTTTAATCTGTTTTGGCCATTGGCAACTGAAGAATAGATAATTTCGTAACATTTTAGTCGACAAGCTCATGCTAATGCTTGAAAAGTGGATGATTCAATATTTTAATTTTGAATTATTTAATATATGTACAGTGTGTTAAAAAAACCCTGTCCGATCGGAAACCAGTGTATAGGTATCCCAATCACATGACCAAATAAAATAAGAAATATAAAATATTCATGATAGTAAACATATTAATGAAATTTAAAAAGTTCATTTATTTTGCTAATTTCCCCACAATTCTAGGAAATTTTATAAATGTACAACACTAATTTCGGCGGTATTATAATCATGTGGCGGCGGCATCTTTGATGTGTGCCGACAGACGATGCGCCGCCCGTTGTCAAAGGTACCGCTCGGCACGTGTAGAGGCTATCCCGACCTTGAATTACATACTTACGATCACTATTTGTTTGCTTTATTATTTATTTCACTTAAAATTATGTCAGTTTCGCGAAACATTGCATCCGAGTGCACGTGTTGGAGAAATTGAGTTTTAACTATGTCGTATACGAATGAAGAGTACTGTAATATGATAATGTGTTTGGGGAGGAGTGACTGCAATTATGCAGAGGCTCATAGAGACTATGAAGTGCGTTTCGCAGTTCCGCGTGGTACCATGGTGCCGTCAGAGCGTGCGGTTCAACGTCTTCACAATCGTATGTACACCACGAGCAGTGTTCACGGCTACGAAACGCATCATGCTGATACAAGGACACCGCGTATCGACATGGATATTGAAGAGCAAGTGCTTGTGTTATTCAATGAGGACCCCACCCGAAGTACTCGTTCTGTGGCACGACAACTGGGCGCTTACCACGTTCAGGTGTGGGAAGTGTTAAAAGAAGATGGCGAGCATCCTTTCCACTACCGTCCTGTCCAAGCTTTACTACCCAGTGATTATGAACCCAGAGTGGAATATTGTGCATGGATTTTAAGGAAAATTGAAGAGGACGCTGAATTTTTAAAAAGCGTTATTTTCACCAATGAATGTTCTTTTCATAGAACAGGCGTCTTTAACAGCCGGAATGAATAATATGTGTGGTCGACGCTAAATCCTTACGCCCATAATCCGTGATAACCTTTTGCGACGCTGTCAAGCCTGTATCACTAGTAGAGGCCGTCACATGGAACAACATCTCCATCATAGCCATCGCATTGGCGTCCTCATCGAATAACAGACTACCTACTTACAAAATACAAATTGATAAGCGTAGTTTGAACTTTGAGGTCAACTGCGTTCATGACCTTATGACGTCACCAGTATTGCTATGTAAGTTTCACAATGTATCAAATATTTTAAATTTTTAAGCGGGGTAATTTTTTTTTACTTGGAATCTGTTTTTTTTACATAAATAGAATCGAATCGCGATACCTAATAATACCTTCACGGATCGGACAGGGTTTTTTTAACACACTGTATAATCTTTTTCATAATACGTAATTATTTATAAAATCTAAACTAGCAATTTATAATACTTGCTTAGTCATCATCTTTTGTTACAAGATTGTAATAAATGATAAAGAAATATACATATTTTTAAAACAACACTATCACCTATGTATTTATTTAGTTTTCTAAGAAATGTAATTATAGACTTACAATGTTTTCTTACACAAGTCGGTGGCAATGAATGAACCAATAAAGTAATTTAATTACTAAATATAACAGCCCATTAGTAAACCAGACAATGCATTAATATTATAAAAAAAAAACAAATTTTTGTGGAGGAAGTTTTATTAAAAACAACACAACAATTAGTGTACAAATCAATATAGTAAAAAATATATATATTTAAATGGGCTTAAAACCTTAAAAATATACTTAAAACAAAATACCAAAACCCGTAGTATTATTAGATTCATAAAGAGATTACTATTAACTACCTAAGTAAGTTCAATATGTTAATTAGAGAAAATCCAAAATCTTTGGACAAAGACATAATGAGACTTTTAAAAACTGACAAATTTCCGAAATCTAATCTGAAAGTTATAAGAATACTATAAATGACTAAATAACCTTTTTTAGAAAAGAGCGAGACTTATAAGCTACTATATTGGTAGTCTGTAGTTAGCATAAATTATTTAGAAAATTCAATATTCACATAATGTTAACATTTATATAATAATTTTACTGTAGAATTTTTATGACAAACCCAAAATATGGTAATATCAATTACAAAATATCTCGTGGGTTTAGAGCTATTCAAACTCACGCAGTGAAATCCTCGATGCGAGTAAGAAGTCTCTTGTTCACAACTAGCGTTTAAGAAAAACTCCCTGGTATTAAACTTTGCTATACCTCAGAAAGACATTTCACAGATTTACTCCACTTTTCTTGCACATAAGCTTGAATATCTCAGAACTAGAAGAAAGAAAATATGGTGCACTCTCCATTGTTATTGCAAGCCATATCGCAATATTTATACACTATTTTTTTGATTTTAATAAATCTCATACCACCACATACAATCTTTACCATTATCAATACAGACGAGACATCACAAAGCGACATCACAGAACACGGTGTTAATGTAAAGAAGCATTCGTGTAAATTTACGTAAATATAAAAACGTCCTAAAAACTGCGTGAACAGATGAAAAAACCAGCATTCCCGTTCACGCCTCTTCACTGCTGTATTCAGCGCATGTATGGATCTGGCTTAAGATATTTGATAAAATTCTCAATATAAAAACAGTAATAACAGTAAAAACTTATATTCCAATGTATTTACTTGATTATTGTAAATGACAAAATTGTATTAAAATTCAACTATGCAGTACTCGAAAGTCCTTATTAGTTAGATTCACAAGACACTACATTGCAATTCCTGACTATCAAAGTGTGGACGATAGATCTGCGGGAGGACAGGATTCACTTGGTGGCTCACTGCACCTTGCAAGTGACCAGTCCTCCCCCAGGAGGGGGTCACTCAATAGAGCACATAATAACTGACTTCCCCAGGAGGTAGGTGGGGTACGTACTTAGTGACTCCTCCCCAGGAGACGAGTGGTCATTCAGTGGGACACATACTAAGTGACTCCTCCCGAGGAATCGAGTGGGTCACTTAGTTAGGCACGTACTTGTGCACTTTCCCCCCGTAGCGCGCGACGAATGCCGGCACTGGAAACTTGCGCTTGCACCCGTCGTAGTTCATGTACCGTATCTTGCCGAACACCGCCCGCTCCGCCCAGCCCTGGTCGTGGATACCGCAGATTGACCACATGCAGCCTGCAAATAAATGTTAGTGTTAAGTTTTTGATAATATTACTTTCTTATATTTAAGCGAATGTTTGATTTCTACACAATTAAATAAAATTTGAAGTGTATGTTGGTAATCAAAATAACAGCTCTTTACTAAATACATAAGGAAGCATGTGCAGTACTTTAAGAAAAGATATTTTTTTTTAAATATATGCCTGTTCCGACTAATCTCTGAAGCGGCTGGACCGATTTTAACGGGACTTTCACTGGCAGATAGCTGATGTTATACGGATTAACTTAGGCTACTTTTATTTTCAGAAAGAGAATTAGGGTTCCGAGCAAAAAAAATTAAGCTCCATGAAATTGAGAATAAAAAACCGTACTAAGGACGCATCCGAACGAAGCCGCTAATTTAAAATAAAACTATCTTTTCGGATTTTTTCGCGGATTCATTATTTTATTTATTCTTGGTAATATATAGTTTATCCTTAGGGTTGGCATCGGATGTGATGTTATACATAAAAATAATTCGTAGGCGATAGACTAACAGGCAGTTCATTTTACATGTGAATTGTGAAGTATATTGTAAAAACTTGTGTTAGAGCCTGAGCAAATATTGTTAGTAAATTATGACATATATTGTTCTTGCTTTAATAGTTTTAAGAGACTACATTATTAGAGCAATATTTTTTTATGACCCATTATATATAAAGTGGAAGGTCGAATAGCAGAGCCAATAGCTAATAAGCTTTTTACGGCTAATTTTTATTATTAACATTTATTAAATACGTTTGGGGCTCTCTTCATAGTTCATACTCAATCTTTCAAGAAAGTTTTAGAAATTATTATATTTTTTTATTATATACTTTTTATCTTTATGTATATCTTTATACATATACAAAATTCTTCTGTACTTGTATATGCCACTAAACTCCTAAACTGCTGGATCGATTTTGGTAAATTTTTTGTGCATTTGAGTGTGTCCCTGGATGATTTAGATTTACAATAAGACCCAGTAGGTGGCATTGCCAGAGGCTTCCAGATTTTTTTTAACGTTTAGGTGGGGCAACATCTGGTCCCCTATTTCTTAGTATTTTTTTCGTGTTACTTCTAAAATATACCAACCAACATATCCATTTGGGTCTCTCCCATCAACACTGTAGTGGTCATTCAAGTAAATAGCAAACTTCAGAGCTTGTTCAGGTGTCTGTGTCCACTCTAAGATCTTCTTACACCAGTACATGCGTAGAAAGCCATGCATTTTGCCTTCCTTCACCAATTGTATTTGAGCTGAATTCCATAAATCATCATGCGTTTTTGCTTCAGAGAGCTGTTGTAGTGTGTATATGTGACTTCTTTTATCTTTCCTAAAATAAATAGTATCCATAAAAATATTTATGTTTGAGTTATTGTGTTAAAATAAAAATTTTAATTAAATTAATAAAGAAATAAATATATAGAGATGCAGTAAAAAGTTTCTCATACCAAATTTTGTCAAAATCTGTCCAGTAGTTTTCTCGTGATGCATTCCCAGATAGACAGACAAAAATTCTAAAAACTATATTTATACTTCAATAAGATTTTCCAAAAAAAATGTATGTACAGATTCGACTCAGAATTTTATTATATGTGTAGATAATAACCTATGGTCATCTAGAGTCTTCTGCGCCCATGCACTGGCTCCTTTAATACTGTCATAGTGTTCACAATAGAAGCAGAAGTTATCAGCAAGTTCACGCCGCACTATGGCCTCCTCCAGATATGCATTCACACTCTCTGTGTGAGTTTTTTTGAACTCTTTCACACAGAGTGCTACTCTTTGTACAGATATTTGGCCTGAAAGGTTTATTTGTTCATATTATATTTGATTTGATAAACATCTTGATTATTTGAATGGTAAAAAAAATTGATAATGTGTATTGTAAAAAATGTATTTTGATTATGTTATTAAGTTATTAACTGACTTAATAAATTAATTATATCTAAGTTATCAAAAATCAAATATACTATAATCATATAAATCAAAATATACATAAAATTGAAGGGTCTCTATATAATGTCAATATAACAGCTTTTTACTAAGTGCATATGAAATTATATACAGTACTAATAAGAAAAGCACAATTAAAAAAATATTGTTCGTCTCTGTTTGTTCCCACTAATCTCCGAAACGGCTGGACTGATTTTGAAGGGACTTTTATTGGTAAAGAGCTGATGTTATAAGAAGTAACTTAGGCTTATTTTATTTTAGAAAAAGTATTAGGGTTCCGTTCAAAAAAAATAAAACATAGGTAGGGACGCACCAGAGCAAAGCGAGGGTAAGTCGCTAGTTATTAATATTATTAGTAGACCTGCATCAAAATATTTCAAGAAGTAATACACCCCAAAGTAGGTTTTTGAAAAGTACCTAGTTATATCATATGGGTATCAATCACTTGGTGGCGCCTATTGACCCTTACACTAATTTCAATTATATAAAACCATTGCTACATTCAAGACAAATCAAAAAAGATAGTTCCATATTTATAATACAAATGATGTATAAATTAATTAATCAATAAATTTAAACACAAGAAACAAAAACTTAAATAAATCTGCAAAAAAAAACTGAAAAGATAATTTACTTAAAATGTCAAATATTCACATAAATCTAAAATAGTATTATAATTGTTGAAATAATATTCAAAATACAAACATTAATTAATTAGAATTTAGTGAAAAAAAAAGATTACATACCAAAATGATACCATGGGGATAAATTACTGAGTGCGTCTTGTGTGGGGTCATTTCTTTTACTGGCGAAAATCTTAAGGCGTTTATCAAGAAAACCTTTTAGAACTTTCATGGCACTGTCATAACCTGGAGTGGCCCACTCTATTGGTCCTACTGATTTATCTGCCTCTCTTGAATCTATTGCTTCATCCCAATCTATTGGCTGGATTTAATATAAGAATGTATATGTATATTTAATTATAATAAAAAAATACTGAATAGTATTATTTAATTAAGATATATCAAAACTGCAGATGGCTATAAAACTATTATGGTGCTTCTTTTATATAAAGTAATATATAATATTGAAATAATGAATAATCAATTTGTTTTGACTAAACTTACTTCTGGTTCGAACTTGCTAATATAAGGGTGCTTAATAACTGGAGGGAATTCTGTGAGAAACTCATCTAACTTAGAATTGATTTTATTTCTAATAGTTCTCGCTGAATACTCTTGTTTATCAGATGCCACCCAACATGGCACTACATTGTGGGCATCTACCTGAAAATGTATTAAAATATTTTACGTGCAAACAATATATTATATGAAATTCATAATTATAATAAGATCAGGTTTAATCAGTCTAGCAAGTATTTAATAAGGCATGTTTAAGTAGTATTTTATTCAAAATAGACATTAGAAAAATGTGATTGTACATAAAATAAGCATACTTAATTTAAAGTGAAGAATTTCATTGATCAATAAAAAATAACAATTCTGCATACCTGAATAAGGGGAACATCTTTTTTAAGTTTTTTCTTAACTCCCTCAAGCCAACCTAAAGGCACTCGAAGAGGATTAAAATCACATACAACTGCTCCAATTTTATGGTCTATTACCCACTGGGGTAAAGCATCAGCGCCACTACCTTCTAATAAGTGAAATGATATATTCAATTTCTTACATTCAGCAGATACCTTTTCTAATCCTGAAAAACATGCTATTACATCATATTTTTGTATGGATTTATGCATATTACAAAAAAAATTAAATACAATATATATAAATTTTAATTTATCATAAAAGTTAAACTAAACACCTTAAATAATATAGTGCTTTCAAACATAGTTAGGATATAAAGTCCATTACCTTTCAGTAAAAAGTGAAATTGCCTAACAGAGGCATCTAAATATTTAGCAATTATGCAAAAACACACATGAAGAGGTACTTCATTTTTGAGAGCTAACTTTTGTGCGAACAAAAAAGCCCAATTATCTTGTACTCTACTATCTCTTGACATCCAATACACGATACCTTCGCATTTGTCAGGTACCATTTGTTCTTGGGATATAATTCGTACACGTTTTTTATTAAATTTATAATTTAAAATTGATTCTGCGGTTTCCTCCCGCTTTTTCTGTATTTGGTTCATAAATTCATCTAGGTTGACTTTTGTTTCAGTACTCGTAGTAGAACTGGATAATTTAAGTTTTTTCGCAGACGAAGCCATTCTTTTTAAAACGTTTTGTAATATAAAATATCTACTTTTCATTTATTTTCTTATACCATTAAAGTTAAAAATCGAAAACTTAATTCTTAGATTTACGATTCGCTCAATTAACGCGGTTTATTTTGACATAAAGTTTTGACTTTTTACTTTTTTTATTGCCCTGGCATGAGCCTGACAGATGATTCTTCATTGACTATGATTCTTCATTCTACCGTCTACGCGAGATTAGCAAATCAACACTATTGATTGTTTATAAAAAGATGTTATAAATAAAAAAAAAGTGTTAGATATGGCACATATTTATATTCTAATTTACAAATTTAGATTTAATAATCAAATTATCATAGCAAAATAAAATGCTTTCTATGAAATAAATATATAAAAAATAATAATTATCAATACTTTTTTTTAAATAGAATTTTTTTTCATATAACGCTCTCCTTTGAATTTGGGAAATACTTAGTTTTAATAAAATCACTACATGGATGGCAATTTGTTCTATTGATATTCGTTTTCATGCAATCGTGTGAACAAAATGAGACAAATTCGCACCAGGAACATAAAATTTTTTCGTCATTTAACGGGAACATGCATTCAAAGCAAATGTTGAATTTCTTATTCTAAAATAGATATGATAAATATTTAGGCAAACATTATAAGTAAGTAACAATTATAAATGCTACAAGGTACATACAATATAGGTATATATTTTTATAAGAAAGTTTGTGATTATTTACATCTTTAATCAGTTCCGGTTTAATGTAAGGGAATTTCCAAGTGCTTATTTCCGATCCCATATCACTATTCACGACTTTATGTTGACGTAAAAGACGATTGGCATCTAATTCTATGGCGTCCTTTAAATTTGCAGTTACATTTGGAGCTGCAACCATATCGCTATGTAATTTGCCATAATTTTGCCACGACATAAAAATAACAATACAAAGTAAATGTTTTAATATTATTGTATCGTTATAGTTTTTCTTTTTCTTGGTACATAAAATGTCACATATCTCAATACATCTTTGAGGAGTGAGCCATAAACCGATATTCATCTTTCCATTAAACTGCTTTAATATTATGTTCCAGTGTCGATGTTTGTATCTGCGAAAACGGTGATTACTGATTAATATTTTGTAAAAATGTTGTTTCTATAGAGATCGTCCTTATTCTATATTACAGGTTTTTGAATCCATATAGTTATCCTTCATTATTATAAGTTCCTACATATTTCGTAAAAAATTTAACCTGCTACCTGTTACAGTTACACTGATATGTATAATAAGCTTGGTAATAAGACCCATTGACTAAGAAACTTATAAAAAAATAATTTAAAGGCATCAAATATATATAACAGAATAGGTACAAGAAGGGAACCATACGGCTTAAATTTAGACTTACTTATTAATAACTTTAATAAGTTCTTTCACTAGTTTTGCTTGCAGCCATCTTATGTAAATGAGTCTTGCGCAGTTGGCCACCAACTCGATAGCTTGCTTGTAGTCTTCTACTTCCTCCACGCTCATCTTGCCGATAGATTTGGTAGATAGTTTTTCTTCCTTCTTAGGCTTTTCAATTTTTTTGGTTTTTGCATCTTGCTTTCCAACTTATAATATAAAAGAGAAAGAGTCTTAATAAGTTTGCCATTACTATTTCCGTTCAGTCAATATCTATTTCCAACTTTTTCTACCACAAAATGAATATTACGAATACTAAGTCTGTAGCATCGTAGCTCCCGAACGGATGAACCGATTTTGATTTTGTTTTTTTGTTTGAAAGGTGAATTAGTCCGACTCAGGAGTGTTCTTAGCTATGTTTGATGTAAATCGGTTTAAAATGGCCGGGGGATTTTTAAATTTTTAATTTTTCACTTGTTTACTAGAGGGAGCCCAAGAGGGGATTTTCTGTAGTTACTCGAGCGCGGCAGATTAATATACAGGGGGATACCTTGTACCCGGTTAAGTACCTCCACAAAACATGAGGCCCATATATAAGGCCGCCCGTGAAGGATACAGGATCAGATTAGTAAAAAAAATTGACCACCAGAAATTCTCGAGCGCGTCAGATTAAGGTAGGGTGAGTTAATTACATCCTAAAAAGTGTATATTCCACTAATCTGACAATTTGAGAGTGACGTAAAAAAAGGGTAGGGCAACAAAGTTGTAAAAAAAAACGTCATCTCGACATTCTCGAGCGTAGCTAAATTTTTTTTTATTTTGAAGGAAATAATGCAAGAATAATGAAAAATATATAATCTGACGATTTCCGCAAGCCGAAATAACAAAAATTCGTCGATAAAGTTAAATGCGTGCAGCTGCGTGATGCCTACATTTCCTTCTCCGCGTTTCTATTCCTCTCTCACTCTTTCTCTATCTATTACTCTCTCACTCCGTCCCCACTCTGGTTTCTGCCGCCATGACACCATCACAGCTGATCATAAAGAGTCTAGGGGTGTGCGAACATCGTTCGAAATTCGAAATTCGAAAAATTTCGAATAATTCGTAAAAATTTCGAATAATTCGAAAGTTTTTGAATAATTCGCGAATTAATGAAATATCTCTGGATCTTCAATTCGAGAGATATCGTGAACGAAAGAAAACCGAAAAAAAAGTGTTTTTTCGGGATTACTCCGAAATTTTTGGTTCGATCAATTAAAACCTGAAAATAACTTATGAGGATAATAAAACTGCGTCGAATGCCGTCAACCGCGTGAAAATTGCTTGATCTATTCAAAAGTTATTGCTGTTTGAAAATTCCAAAAATAGTGTTCTATGAAACCTCTATCAGACTTTCGAGCTGGGAGAGCTCAAATGCATAGAAATATTATTTCTTTGAACTCTGCGAGCTCAAAATATCACATAAATTATATTTTGAGCTCAAAAATGCCATAAGTACAATTTTAAGCGCACAGGAATGGAATTAGCGGGAAGTTGCAGGTATAGCCTTTAAGGTGAACCGTTTTTCTAATTTTTTTTTGTCAGATCAGGCGAATCCCTCTAGATAATCGTCAGATTATGAGACAGTACGTTTAGAACATAAAGATGAACCATATATATCTTAATCTGACGCGCTTGAGTATTTCAAAATGGCGATTTTTTTTTGCACATTATGAAAATGGCCGCGAGTTTGCGTCCCATCGAAATCGTCAGATTAGTGAATGAGAGCTTTTTTTTGGTGCAATTAACACTCCCTTAGAAAATCTGACGCGCTCGATTAAATTTTTTTTTTTTCATTTTCAACCCTTAAATACAACCACCCGCGTCATGCAAACGATCAGATTAACATACGTACATTATTAAAAATACGTAGGGCATTGATGCTATCAATATCTGACGCGCTCGAGGATGTCTATGCAACAGTTTTTTTTTACATATTTAAAAATCTATAGCCGCTTCCCCCACCGATGTAAAGGTATATATCATATAACATTTTTTTCATCTTATCATCTAAGCTTTGCATCCCAATAGGTCTCTACGACGCTCGAGTAAATCCCCATTTAGCTTCGTGGGCTCCCCTACCATATTAATTATCATCGTTACGGAACACTGATTAAAAGATTTTTTTTTCTAAAATTTACAAAACGGATAAACTCATAAATTTCTTACATCATATCGTATTTATTAATAAAGTAACGCATCAATCATAAAACTCACTTGGTGGACTAACAGATTTATTTTGTGTACTTTCCATTTCCACTAACGTCCGTTTCGCAAACACGAATATATTTTCGTATACGTCCTCGCCGTTTTGACATTTTATTAAAGGATCCGTTCCATATAGTAATAGATTTGTAAGCTATATAAAATAACAATAAATTAACATAAATATTATTTAAATTATTGACTACCCGTTTTAGTTAAAATTATGTGAAAAATTACCATTTTTAATCTTTCTGCACTTGCAGTACTTCTGAAGAACGGCAAGTAGAACATTTTTACTAAAACACTTTGATTTACATCATTAATTACAGTATTGAGTTTGGTTTTAGGATTTTTAATGAAGAGGTCAAAAACTTCTGCATTTTTATACATGGCTATGTCTATTGCGGATCGTCCTTTAAATTGTACCGTTGAGTTACAATTATATTCCAGCAATAACTCTATTAGTTGAAGTCGTATCTGTTCAAAGTGGGCTTTTATTTATTATTTGACTGATATACTAAATATGTATATTTATGCATGCACTGCACTGCATTTAAACTTTATACTCACATTTTCTTCTTCGTCACTTTCAGTTTTCCTTCCCAATGCAACGTGAAGGAGAGTCGGTCCAGGACTTACTTCGTTAGTCAATGGATCTCGCTTACATAATAGCCGGTGACGTGGATCTGCGCCACATTCTAGTAATGCTTTAATAACATTAAAGTTATCACGTGTGAAGGGACGAGACACAGCTACATCAAGTGGAGAATAATCATAAATCTGAAAACCAAGTACCTATTGGAAAGTGTATTTAAAATAGATGATATTATTGCAAATATATTGTGTACTTATAATAATATGTAGGTTAATAAATTTATTTTTACAGAAAAAATAGTATTTCTGTCACAACTATATGAATAAAAAAATATTTTCCGAGAGTTTCCGTGCATTTTGAGCACTTGATTTGAATCGATTGATCGTCAAGTTCAATATTTATTGTTAATGTTGTATCCTAAAGTAAAAAGCTGTTATAACTAGAGTACCTCTTGTTCAGTAGTATAAGTAATAATTAGGTAAGGCTTCAGATATACCTGATGATAAATTTCATTGACATTGGCACCATAATGTACCAAGTGTCTTATTAATTCTGGATTACTAGAAGTTGCGGCTATCATCATCGCTGGTTGTGGACATCGCACTAGCCTGGGATTGGCACCATTCGATAGCAATTCAAGAATTGTCAGCATTATTTTTGATAATCTGTAAATTTAAATTTACCTACTTGAAAACCTATTTTCAGCACACAAGGTCATTGAATTGTTTATATTTATTATAAATATTATATTTTTTACCGTCCACTTATTGGAAATACTAACGCATTTATTTTTTGTTTCTCTATACTACTCAATGATTCTTTTTCTTCAAGGTTATCTTTCTGTATTGCTTCTTTACTTGTTTTAATAGTGTCCTTCAAGATTTTGGATGTTACTTTCTTAATATTTTTCTCTGGTTGTTTCTTCTCTTCTTCGTTAGCTTCAATTTCTTTTAACATATCATTCACATCAAATAGATAGGGAATAGGATTAGAATTATTGGAGAAAGTAAAGGCATCAGTAACTTTAATACTAAATTCTTGATTCAAGCAGTTGTATAATTCTTTTTCTTCTGATGATGTATAGTTATCTTCATCCGTTAGTTCTGGTAGAGAGGAAAGTGGCTCAGTTTTCCTTCTTAATGTCGATTGATCAATTGATATTAATGATTTGATTTTTTTTGAACTGAGGTTTCTCGTTTTACTAGGTATTTTTATCATGACTCCTGCCAGGGGCAATGTTGCTTGTTCTCTTGTTATATTCCATTCAAATACCTTTTGCTCTGTCATTGCTATAATACCAATTACATTGTTAAGATTAAATAATGCTCTAAAGATACTGGATTTTATCGACAACCATAAAATTTAATCAATAACTTTAAAACTCTAGATATTCGTTGGGAACTTTAAATTGCTAAGCTCACAAACAGACACACAAAAGTACGACGTTGTTTTAATAATTTAGGGCTATTTTTATAACTGCTGAATCAGATACGGGATAAAAGTTATTAATAATCACTAGGAAATAAAATTTTGATTACTAAAATATTGGCCGTGAGCAGATTCTACCTGGTCAACTATCTTTGATTTGATCGATTTTGTTTATAATATTTATAAAGTGTAGATGAAACTATCCACAGATGATAAAGTAATTAGAACTTTTACTGTTCCTCTATTATACTGTTTTCCTTAGTTCTGCTAACAGACACTAGGGAAATCTAATCATCGCAAATAGATAGGTACGAGTTGAATTTTGCAAGTGGGCGTAGATGGCGAAATGCTAATCTCACAGAAATCTTAATAATAAGGTAATATTATTAAGATTTCTGTGGCTAATCTATAGGGAATAGCCAAAGATAATAATTAAAAGATGGGACGATTTTAAAAATCTCTTGTAATTTAGAAATCTCTCTCGTGACCATGATTGCTGTAAAGCATTCGAAACGTCGGGAACCAAAAATCAAAATAAATTCTCGAAAAAATCCGAAAAGATAGTTTTATTTAAAATGTCAAGTATTCGCGTAAATCTAAGAAAGTATTATTAGAAATTTGAAAAATACTATAGACAATAAGAAGTTTCAAAATCTGCCTTCTAGGCCCCCTTAAATATATCACATTATACATGTAATGGGGTAAATAAAAATTACGTTGTGTTGGTGGTAGAGGTGGTGGCAACAGCGCTTGTAACATTCCAGAGAGTGGAATCTCGTTGCCTACACAAATATATCTCATCAGTGCAATACCCAGTGCTGTGCAACAACAGTCATTATATGCATTGATATTAGCTCCGGCTTGTATAAGAAAATGTATGATCTCCGGTTGGTCTCCGCACTAGTTATGAAAGGAGAGCATTTTAAAATGTATATAAATAAATATTAAGGTTAAATAAAACTATCTTTTCGGATTATTTACCGGATTTATTTTGATTTTTGGTAGTCAATTCAAGGGAACCAAAAATCAAATTAAATCCGCGAAATAATCCGAAAAGATAGTTTTATTTAAAATGTCAAATATTCGCGTAAATCTAAGAAAGTATTAGGTATTAAAGTTAAGTTGATTAATTTCACTGAAAGCTTTTGTTTTAGATAGAAAATGTCAGAGGCTATATTTAGTAAATAAATTATTCGAGAATACTTGAGCCAGCAATTTCATTATAGCAAAATGATAGCGTATTTATTTATGAAATACAGTTGTATATAATATATAACTAAAAATAAAAAATAAGACGGCAAAGTGTTGTACCTATTTAATATCAAAATAAATTAAATAATTTTCAATAAACATGAAAATAACAAATGCCGATGTCAAAACTAGGTAGAGCCATTTTCTTTTCGAGCCAAATATATTATCTAATGGTACAGTTTATAGTCAATCTAAAGAGTTAAAAAAAAAATAATAAAATTGAGCTCACAGTGGCGTACATAACGGCGGAATTGCCTTGAACATCTGATATGTCAGGGTGGATGCGACTCTCGTTAACTAGGTGGGCGACATCTGCGACATATCCCAAGTAACTCGCCATCAGAAGATTTCTGTAAGAAAGAATAATAAAGATTTAGAAATATATGTTTAGTTAGCTAAAAATGCCAATAGCATAAAGTCTAAAAGATTTTATATATGTAATATAGTTATATAGTTGAAAGTTGTACAGTAGTGCCATTGGTCATTTGATTAAGTAAACGTTAATAATAAAGCTTAATGAGTTATGACATATCCCTTGCAAGGATGACATGTAAATATAGACAAGTATCTTAATCAGACCTTGTAAATGTCAGTATGGTTTCTATACAGAATTTGCCTATAAGATCAAACTCGGTTTATTATGATAGTTAGGTATAGTACCCATTTATTAAGTAAAAAGGCACAACGACTTCAAAATCACTTTAAAAGTAAATCTTCTAACTTTAGGGGTGTAATTTTTTAAAGGATAGGTATTTGGACTTCAAATCCTGAGCAGGCTTTATTTTGAAAATCTCGAAAGTCATGAAACCACATTCGTTAACAAACCAATGACGAAAATCGACTCACCCTTCGTAAAGATATCGCGGTACATCCAAAACACACACGAATTGAATTCTTTATCCTTTTTTGAAGTAAGCTAAAAAGTATGCTGAAAACTTATGAGAAATAACAAACCTACATCCCAATTCGTGGTTTCCAGGTGGTTTGAAATGAGTTCGTGGGCCCGACAGTATGGACTTAATATCAAACTTCGAGTTGTCTTTATGTCTATCGTGTTTAAAGCTATGTTTCATCATATTAACCATAATTTTGCTATTGTTCCAAGCGTAATACGTTGGAATATCATCTATCTCCATCTAAATAAATAAAAGCTAAATTATAAAATAAGTGCAAGTGCTTTTTTCTTTTAGGAAAAATAGAAACTATGAACTGCAGTGCCAATACTGCTTATTGTGTTTTTTAGATACTTGCAAAAAGCTGTCTTATCTATATAAATATTTATTATACGGAAATCGAACACGTAATCTACGGATTTTCAGTTAGACTGGTCCCACACTAAGCTTTAGTAAATAAGTACCTATGACATGGGCAACGGGCTTTACATAAATGTTAAGTTATTAATAAAGAAAATATATAAACATCTTTATTATCCAGCGATGGGTCAATTTCTTCTAATTCATAAATATTTTCATTGTAATAATATCGATTGAACAAATCTATATTGCAGAGCGAACTAGGAACATCTGTACAGTGTTTAGGATACAATTTGTTCCATTTCTCAACAGCTACGCGATTGTCTGCACCACACTGTCTAAGGAGTTCTACAGCATTGTTTACTTCACCTACCTACAAATTAATTATAATATTATCAAACTAATAATTGGTTATTATGCATTACTAAATTACAAAAAGATTTGTGTGAAAAATTTAATTTATTCGATGTGCATTTACCTGGACTGGTTTTTTATTGATATTATGTACATTTAAAATATCGGTATAAAAGTATGATTTTTTTATGAGATATTAAAGAAAATCTTACATTTTCTACGGTATTTCTTAGCAAGATTCTATGTGCTTCTACAATCACCCGGCCTGAACTATTAGTCATAAACTCTGGAACAATGCTCGGGGCGAGAGGCCGCCATGATAGCCTCACGAGCTGACGCCCACGCCATAGTCCCACATCGTTGTGTACATTGGCATGCGATTCGATACCCGGACCCCATCTTACATTATTCATGAATAGACCCTGAAATTTTGTATATAATATGTATGTATATGACTATTCAAATCCAAATTTTCTTAGTTATACAACATGGCCTGTGTAGATACTCTGAAAACGCTGAACAAAGCTGAAGTATAAACAGTGATTTTTATAAAGAATAAGCATAACTGTTTCGAAAATTAGTATTATAAAGATTATTATCTAAAAATTTATATATATATACCTATATTTTATTTATTTCTTCAGTAGTTTATACATTATTTTTTATCTAAAAGTACAAAACTTAATGAAATTTAGTAAAATGTTTAACATTTTAACGCGCCATAACTTGCTTTATATTGTAACACAGGTTGAAAAACTATCTATAAAATAAATATAATAACAACAATAACAATCAAACCTAAAAAGGAATAAACTCGAACTTAAATTAAAAACAAAAAACATAACCTTAATTTTGTTAATAATTCGGTATTATCAATTTATGCGTAATCACATTTATCTATTGACAATTTAAATGGCATGCAATTAAAATTCAAAGTCATTAAGCTTTTCCTCGCAACGCTGTTTATTGGATGTTTTCATTAGTATTACAATATTACGGTAAATACGCTTTTAATGTGATTTATTTTTATACCTACATAAAATTTAAAAATACATAAAATTAAAATACATAAAATTATAATATCCATTGGATTGTAATAAATTTTATATAAAGAAAAATTAAAAGTATTTTAGTATATTAATTAGGTATATACGAACAGACCTACCAATTAAAAAAAACAAATTTAATAATAGACCCAATAATATATTTTTGCTTACGGTAAACGTTCTGCCATCGGGATAGGACATAGTCCCATAACCATGAATGTTGTTACAATAGAAATATCCTTCATACGTAATTGAAGCATTTTCAGGACCGCGATGTCGCCAGCGGTAATCACCTACCCCATGCATAGTATCATTTATAAAACTGCCGTTGTAGCATTCAAGTGACTACAAACAGATAAAATATATCTAACATTTATTGATTGGCGCTACTCCTATAAATAAATCGATCAAATATATAATTTATATAATAATAATATAAATAAACATAATTCCTGTATTTATAAAGACATAATGTAGGTAAAAGAAAGGTTCAGTTTCAGTTTAACTTATTCAAAAAATATGCATAAATTACAGAAGACGTGTAAAGCAGATGAAAATATACATACTTTTGCTCCAGACCAGTTATTTTCTCCTGTACCATTTCTCCTACCATCCTTATCTTTATATCCTTTATAATATTGTTGATAAGACCATCTTTTCTCTCCAACAGTTGAAGGCGTACTATTTACTTTTAACATTTTTATATCAAGCTGTCGTATATTATTAAAATAAATAGAAAAATATCAAATGTAAAAATAACATAGCTATGAAAAAATAACTGTCATCCTCATATTTTATCGCTGGCAATAATTACATAAAGTAAAGATAAATAAAAAAAAATTAAAGACATTAATTAATTTATCATTATATTTTTTATTTCATAATATAAAATAACAATAAAAAAATATATTATATATAGCAATAATAACAAAAAAGAATTTCAGGCGTAAGCCACAATAATGTGGTAAAAGTTTTTCACACTTGTAGAAAACGGTGAAAACGTCATTCCTAGCAACAATTGCATCGTAAGCAACTAGTCTTCCCCTTTTCGAAATATGTGTATTCCTAAAAAAAATACATATTTAAGTAGAAAAATAATAATATGATAATTTTACATAATGTAGATAGTATATAAAAAGTATTAAACTTTTGTGAGTTAACTCTTACCTATGAAATTTTAAAACTCTACCGATAAAATGTTAAACTTATTTAAACCGAGCTGTTCACCCTCGCTTCGCTCGGGTTCACTTATAGGACAACAAAAACAAATCTATCCTACGGAAACCGTGAATTTTTCCGGGATAAAAAGCCTATGTGCTAAGCTAAGCCCACACTATAATCTATCTCTGTGCCAAATTTCATCCAGATCCGTGTAGCCGTTCTGGCGTGAGAGAGTAACAAACATCCATCCAAACATATAAATTTTCGCATTTATATATTAGTATAATTCTACGCACTGATTTTCACATTTTTTTTCGGTTTATTACGAACTCTGCGAGCATAAAAGGGAAATGATATTAACACCTAATTATAAAACCATTTCAGGCTTTAACTCCTGTCGTCTGCGCGCTTTGTCTTAATCTTTTGTTCTTAAGTTAAATATATAGAGCACAGCCTATAAACGGTTTTTGAACTCTAGAGATAATATTTTTTTATTTTAACTGATCATTAGTAAGAATTATTATTTCAATGATATTTTTACGTTTTTATAGCTTACCAATAAAAATGCTGCTGCTAAAATAAGAGCTTTATGCTTTGGTTGAACTACCACATTGGGATAGTTGATATTGGTTGTGAAGCTAACCAGCTCTCTATCCCAGCCGTGGGATATACTACCTACTTCACGTAAAGAATCGCCGCTTAAAACCTGAAATAATGGCAAATTATACGGCTATAGCAAGATTTAAATCTTAAGATTTTAATCAATATAATATTATATTATATTCTAATTGAAATACTTCAAGAAACTTAATATTATAATAGAATATTATTATAGTCAACTAAGTGAACTTTGAAACATGATTAAGTTTGCTTTTCGCTTTATTATGAAATAGTATAATGTAAGTAAAGTTTGTACGCCCACCACCAATGAAGTTTCATCTAATAAACACAGTATTGATTTTTATCAAATGACGTACAAATTACACAGCTTTAGTAAATAGTGGTAATAAAGTATGTATAATACTCCTTATTATTCTGAACATAATATGTTACAAAAGAAAACATAGGTATCATAGTAATGTTTTATTTTAAACTTGCGGCTCACACTCGCTTCACTCGGGTTCACCTCTAGAAAAACAAAAACAAATCTATCCCACGGGAACCGTTAATTTTTCCGGGATAAAAAATAGCCTATGTGTTATTCCAGACTATAATCTATCACAGTGCCAAATTTGATCCAGATCCGTTCAGCAGTTCTGGCGTGAAAGAGTAACAAACAGTCACACATACTCACAAAATTTATACGGACTAGCGACTTACGAGTACTATCCCTTCTCTGGTGCGTCCCTAGGTGCATTTTGTATGTATTATATTATATACAGGGGCGATACTTTCTGTTAAATTTTATTATTAACCAAAAACCTTCTAGCCGTGAAGGAATAATATACACAAACATCACACAAACGTACCTACACAAAAAATCTTTCGTATTCATAATAGTAATGCTTGAACGTGTTAATCTTACAAGGATTTTTAATATCTTAGTCAGATATTAAAAATCCCGTATTTCATTTATGACCTTTTTATTTAGGAAGGCTATCAAACTGCATACGTATCTTACGCATGTAGAGCGCCTACATGCGTAATTTATAATTAAGCTCAAATAAGCTATCCGAGTGGAATCGGAAGCAAAAGCTAGTCCGTACTGTGTACAGAAAAAATAATTTCTAATTTACAAAATAGCAGTTTTATTTTTTTAATACCTTAAATTCCGCTAGCCGCAAAGACCCTCGTGTAAATGTAGCTGGCCCTTCTACAACAAATAGAACATCATCGCTCGCATCCCTAACTAGAAAAAATGGCACCATCAAAGTCCAACGCTGCTGTATTCGTCCTATGTAGTTGCCTGGCGGAGTTACTACTTTCATTTCCTAAAATACAAGTAATTATTACTTAATATTAAAGAATGTAATAAACTTTAAAGAAACTTGTTAATTTTTATATTTTGAAAATTAAATTAGTATGTGAGATGTGTCCATCGAGTATAAATTCGAAAGTTATTTAAAATCAGCCGGATATTGGGGCTTTACAAAGGGATATGTATTCAGCTCTTTTGTAACATCCCTTTGTTGGGCACGGGCCTCTCTTCAATACGAGGGCGGATCAGGCCATAATCCACCACGCTGGCCAAGTGCCGGTTGGTGGGCTTCATATGTCTTTCGAAAACTTGCTAGGTTTTCTCAGACATGCAGATTTTCTCACGGTGTTTTCCTTCACCGTAAGACAAGTGGTAATCATGTTGGAAATGAGTCGCACGTGAAAATATCAGAGGTGCGAGACCCGGGATTTGAACCTGCTTCACTCGTATTCCCAAGCGAGTGCCTTACCACTGGGCTTATACTGCCTGACTACCCCTACATAGGGATATAAGGCCACTTTAATGTTATTATGTAGAACTATAGATATGAGTATCACAGGTTACCTGCAACCTACAAGGGAAAAGACAGGACGCACCGGCTAGTCTTCTATGTAAGACCATGGCCTCCTGTCTAGTGGTGTCATGTAAATGCATAGCAAAGGCCCGTCCAGTACCACATAGACTTCGTTGTGTTGGGGAGGATACTTCACTGGCTATATAAAGTGATTCGCCATGAGGTACTTTAACTATGTACCTGTTTTCAGAATTTAATCCGGATGTAACTGAAAATAAAATGGGGTATGTAAGTTTTCATTAAATAATCGTAATATTTAAAAAAATACGCTCAATATATATAATTTCAATTGAGAAGTCATATTAGTTAATAATTGTATTTCGCTTATTTTTAGATAATAACCATTTTTACGACGTGTAAAAGTTTTTTCGGCAGTAGTAGCCCAGGCTAGTGGTAACGCGCTTGCTTCAGATTGTCCGATTTTTTATATTTATGAAAAAGTATAAAAACAAAATTATTTTTTTTTATGCTCTCTACTATTGCATACTTTATTAAAAATGTCAAAGAAGTAATATAAACAGCGCAGTTGCGATGTATTATTAAAAGAAACGCTTTGAATAAACTTTAAACCTCAATATTATAAATTATTCGTCAAATAAACAGAATGAATTTAAATATATGATAATATTGAACAGTGTCTAAATATTGTTTGAATGAAAAACATAAGCTTTTTCGTTTTATCGTTTGAGTTGAGATCAGAGGATAGGTATAGATAGAGCTTTCATTCTATGCGCTTTCATAAAAAGTAAGACGTATGTAAGTACATACTTACATGTTAGTTGGTTACAGACATTTTTTATAATAGGTAATTGCAGCACAATATATCAGCGTAATTTAGACAAATATAATATTCAATTCGAATAAAAATTGTTTATTGAATATTGGTATTTCAGAAATAAACTTTTTGTTTATCAAAAACTCAACGAACAGTCAACACTCAGCAGTTCGGACTATACAGGTACCAAATACTTTACTAGATATGCAAAAAAATTAAATACTAACGGTCATTCAGTTCCACTGTTTGTTGAATTAGTAAATTGGTCGCGCCGATGAGAAAGTCCAAGCCATGTATGGGTATAAATTGTCCTCGACTGTTGCTAGTAGAATGCCAATCAGTTGTAGACACTGGAAGCTCAGCTCGAGTACTCTCTATAGTCATAAAGTAATAAAGAGATTGTGACGAAACAAGTCAAACCACGATAAGATATGCTTTTAATATAAAAGATCCTACTGGGCACTGATATACTATTTACTAAATGTTATTTCACAGCAAGTATAGAGTAAGGAACAAGGATTTCATAAACAATGGTAGCAATAGTTGTATAAAGTAAATTTGACGACACGCTTGGCTCAGTTTGTAGTGACCGTACTTTCTGTGTCAGCAGTCGCAGGTTCGAGTCCCGCTGGGGGCATTCATTTGTGTGATGACGAATGTTTGTACTCTAGTCATGGGTGTTTATATTTATAATATGTATGTATTTAAAATTATATATGTGTAGTGTATCAACTATCTGGTATCCATAACACAAGCCTCGTAGCTTACCATGGAACTAGATAGTGCTGTGTGTTAATGTCCCAACGTATGTATGTATATATTTATTTAAATTAACCAACTATACATAATTATATTAAGAAACCACGCTAGTGTTTTTGTTAGGACACATATCTAGCATGGAATATTCGGTAGTTGAAAGGCTTCCGAATATTTCATGATTTGAGTAACATCAATTTCCTGTACTATCTGACTGTTCAAATTCTTAGTACGTGATAAACATATCATTGATACATACCATATGTTTGTGGTTGGACGCTAATTATCAAATCCGGACTCAGAGAAGATCCATCATCTTAAAAATGAAAATAAGCGTTTAGTCCAATGTTTATTGGAGTTACGTAAAAAAGGCAGAAACGGGAAGCTTTTATAATATCGTCATATCTGTCAGTATGTATGTTATAGTTTTTTAACTTTTTCCTTTAGATTAAAATATGGGGGTGGAAATATGTGATAGGAATTATTAGTTTTTATTTTTAGCTTGCTTCCCAATATCAACTTTCATCCCCATTTTCAGCCCCTCAAGGGGTAATTTCCGGGATAAAAGATCCTATGTCCTTCCGAGGGTCTCAAACTATCTTCTTACCAAATTTCATCTAAATTCGTTCAGTAGATCCAGAGATTACCCCTACAACGTCACAAACTCACAAACTTTACCTCTTTATAATATTAGTATTGACTACTTACACATTGAAGTGAAATTGCAGTTTTAAATTGGTCAAACATTGGTTGTAAAATTTTAATAAACTATCTTTAAAGGAAAAGATAAAGCCTGAGAATTAAACTACAAAGTTTTCAAAGCATATTGAGCGAAAAATAAGTATCCAGCGTTTGTCAATCTACATCTTAGGGCGCGTACATATAGAACGTCTGATTTTACAGGATCCTTTTTAACTGATCCGTCGCTTCTGGAGGTAATATTCACACAGCATTTTTACTTATTTCCGAATGACGACATCTACTTTTGATGACCTTCTAAAAAAATTAGAAAAGGATTTAAAAAAGAAAGACACAAACTGGAGGAAAACCCCCGCACCCCTGTGCCAAGCCTCGCGCGGTTTCGATCCGATAAAACGGGTCAGTATTTCTGTTGTGTATGGGATTTTTTACTAGATCCGGAATACTGTCATGTATGTGAACTGGCTCATATAACTTCATACGCTAATAACATATACGTTTAAATGGACCTGTACAACGGACGTTCTATGTGTACGCATCCTTAGAGCGTAAAAATACGTAGTTTTTTGTATTTAGTGATTGTTGGAAGTACAAAAATTGTTCGAAAATGAATTCTATTCTTAAGTAAAGTTTTATGCGAGCGGAGTCGAAGGTAAAAAGTAATATTTTAAGTGTCCTCTCAGTATAGCTTAAGTATTGAACAAGCCAAGTTTTCGAGCATATTAGTATCTTTTAAATTCCATAGATAAGCAAAATAGAATTCCGGGTGCAAACTAACCTACATACGTTCGCATTTAGTTACATTTGATAGCTTTACTGTGGCAAATAGTACCTTGCGTCGCTGAAGGATTATCAATGCCCCTTTCACCTCTACCACTTGCCATAGCAAACACTTGACCGACTCTTGTATGGATGTAATTAAGATGTTCTTTGTTATTAACACTGCACTACACTGATATCAAATCCAATCGGTCTCACGGTTTGTTATCTACAGATAAATCATTATCAACAATGTACACAGCGTGTTTAATATACTTCATGATCGACAGTTTTCGCTCATTCTAATATTGAAATATTTTTGTAGCAATCATAATCAAAAACAAGAAAAATTTTAATAGTTTTAAACTTTTTAGTTGCTATTGAAGCAGAATAACTCTAACTCTCTCTACTCTCTAATTTGTATCTATCGTGTAATAAATAATCAAATAGTATTTACAACAATCTTACTTATACATTCTCAATCCTACAATTTTTAACTATAATGTAATGTGTGTGATTTAGAAACGGTAGGATAGTAATTTTCGTAGGAGATAATGCTATGATCCACAAGTGTGCAAACACAGGTGTACTCTCCGTTTTTTCACTGTCACAAAGTCCGAGGGGACGAACGTTCGGCACGACCGGAACAGATCACACGCAGAACTGGCGTCTACTAAGTCTTTTACGCTCCGAGGCATGAGGGTGTATTAGCGGCAGAAAAACCCATTAACCGTACTTGACTCTAATCGGGACTAGAAACCAGGAATTCAAGCCATTCATACATCATATATCTATAATCTCAAATATGTACATATATGGAAAACGTTATGTTCCATCAAAATGTAAATTAAAAATGTAACCTTAAAAATGTACAGTAGATAAGTCAGTAGCGACTAGCGAATAACTATTGCAGTAAACATACATATTTCATTATTATTATAGAGTAAAATTACATTAATACAAAATTCAATAACGTAACCCATACAATTTCATCTTTTTCGTCTGTCCGTATGTTACAGTCATTTTATTTGTAGACTGTTAGAGATAGGTATATTGCTGTAAGGTGAACCCTTAGAAAATTCTGCAGTCAAACTATAAAAAATAGGGCTGACGCTCTATATATATATATATATATATATATATATATATATATATATATATATATATATGTACCTAACTGAGGGGTAACAAAAATATTTAGATATAAGCGTTTGGATATCTCTGAATAAGTCTTTTAAATCGAGATAAATGTTTCTTACGGTCGTCGTACTTTTAGTCGGTAAACATTATGTTCCCGCCCTAAATTTCGAAGTAACTTTTGGAAATTTTGAAAAAAAAATCTATTAACAGAGCTTCTAAAATACATTCAATCAAAATTATCTTGATGATATTACGTTCAGTTGTTTTCGAGATATGAAATATTTTCGGTTTCACGCGTATGGCCACAAAGAAGATTATTTTTCATTCTCATACAACTACAGTCAAGTACTAACTTATTAATGCCAATAAATATTAATTTATATGTAGATAGGGTTAATATTTATTATACTTTTAACATATGAAATGACGTATGTTAAAATCCATACTAATATTATAAATGTGAAAGTGTATTTGTTTGTTTGTTGGTTTGTTTGTTTGTTTGTTTGTTTGTCTTTCTTTCACGTCGAAACGGAGTGAAGGATTGGTGTAGTGGTTTTTTGTGTGGAGATAGTTGGAGGGTTGGAGATTGACATAAGCTACTTTTTACCGCGGGAGATTATCTGATTCCCATGGGAAAACACGTTATTATACAACCCAAAAAAATATTTATGATCAGAATTACTTGGAACTTGGTATTAATGCTCTTCAATAAAATTAAATAAATATGTGTTTTAGCATTTTTCGAAATTCACTCTATAAGAGTGTGAAGTAAGGAATGAAAGTTTGTATGAAACTACCTTTTTAAAGACTTTTTGTAGTTTAAGCGCGAGCGAAGTTGCGGATTCTGCTAGTATAATCTAAAGTACCTAGGCAACCGAGCTTCGCTCGAAGTTCTTTTTTGTTTTATCGTCTTTAAAAATATTTGATCTATAAGATCAAAAAAAAAACTAAAAACTTGAATAAATACAAAAAAAAAGAAAAGCATTAATTTATCCGGCTGGGGTTTTAAGTTGGACACCTGTAATTGTCAATCTTGCGCCTTGGCCGCTTGACCACGATACCTATGTCTGAGCGTGCGAAATTAGCGACCATATTTTGCGTGGCGAAAGAAAACCGCACGAAAACTCGTAAACACGCGTTTTCCGATTTTGCACCCCCAAAAACCGAGACATACCAAATTTCAGCGAAATCGTTAGAGCCGTTTCCGAGATCGCTGGTATAAATAAATAAGTAAATATACAAGAATTGCTCGTTTAAATATATTAGATTTAATGCTACGGATTACGGAACCCTTGATATGCGAGTCATACTTGCTACCATTATATATATGTATATTGAATTATGTTTTATTATTGCGTATGAGCGTTAGCTTTTTTTTGTACTTATCTAGATATTCTCAATATAAAAAATTATCCTACTATTTTAGTACCTAAATATTTATTATATGTGGATTGATTGACACGTCATGAGGATTTTAAGCTCGATTTCGGATCTGGCCAACAATAAGTTAGAGCATTATTTTAAGAAAATTTTATTCACAACCTAGAGTCGAATCTTGGTGGTGTTAGATCCCCATGCCTCAGAAGCCGTTGGCCCTGTTCCTAACTTTTCCCCGGTCGTGGCGTAATTCTCATCACTGTCTAATAAAAGAGCAAAAGGAATACGCGCTATATTGATTTCGTACATCCCCTTGTGCATCTATACTTAGTGAGATAGGTTGCAGTAACCGGCAATTTGGTTATGAATTTAGGAAGATTTTAAATTCTTTTAGCCATTAACTGTTGTGAGGTTAAAAAATAAAACAAAATAGTTTGAAAACCATTTATATTAATGTGTTATCATGAACTCGAACATTATTACGAATAAAGTGATAACATTCAAGTTATATACATACATATATCTTTGGCATATTTAAGTCGTCGCCTATTAAGATTAGTTTTGAAAGTTACTACTTGTAACATGTATAGATACTTAGATAGATATATATTTAATGACGATATCAAAGATATGAGCTGAAAATGAACCAAACGCCATTCCTCACTCACTGTTACAATAGTACAGTAAATAACAAGATTCTTGCCAAATTGTGATCGAGACTCTGAAAATAGATAGTACTTTCTTCATTATTAATTTTGTTCATATTTTTTTTGTATACTTTGAAACCATATCCACCTCCTCCCTCTTCTCGTGTCCTCGTCGTATCCTTCTAAAGTATTGAGTTTTGTCTTGCCTTGACAGGTTCATTTTTATTCTTTAGCTTTAGACCAAAAACTTTTAGTCTGGAAAGCGATAAATTTTTATTGTCCTAGTATAGTCTAGAGTAGTGCACTAGTGCTAATTGTGCTTTACGTCATCCAAGATTCTTTACTTCAATGACGGCTAACATGACGAAACTCCAGTTGACACTATATAAAAGAGTTAGATTAGGTGTTACATATGCCATGGTAGCCGCCTTTGATAATGTGCTATATAACGACAGCCTTTTAGAAAACCTCTAAAGCAGCCCATTTCGTCCAATCTTAAGCAGTGTTCAAATACCGCCATAAAACGACATACATATTTGTATGTATAAGTTAAACAACAATACATACATGTATAAATATATTATGTAAATTTACTCGAAATTTCCTTTGTTAGTTAATGATGGTACCATTTAAATTTATATTTTTTATTCTTTATATCTTTTAATAATTTTACTATAGGAATTTTACGGTTCTACATTTTCTTTTTAAGTTTATAGGTTAAAATTTTATATAGTAATATAATTAAATATTTTGTAATTTAATATTAAGGTAATACTTAGTTTACAATGACACACATAAATATTGTATATGTAAGTAAATATTTAACAACGATAGAGTTACTTTCCCAAAACATTCATTATATAAACGCCACCTACATTTTCCTGGACACTTTCCCACACAGGTCTAACCCCATATTCACATCTAACGTCGACGATAATAAGAAATGCAATGCAAAATATTACTGGACAAAATTCTTACATAACATTCAATACGTAATCAAAGACATTTAACAATGAAAGCGTAATAACATCGCGTAAATTATCAAATATATTGTAGCAAATAGCCAAATATAACGATGAATATCGATTACAATATGAATATAATAGTTTTATCCATCCGCATTTATGGCTGGTTAAACGCGCATGGATAAAATATAACCGGCACGAGAATTTAGTGTGAAACGATTGTGAGTAATCGTGGAATCTAGGATTCAATGACACTTAGAAAAAATACGACAATTTTTCTTTAAATTATTACGATAATAATATATTAATCAATACAATCGTAAAAGAGAAGCTTTTACCAATAGAGTAATGTTACTCATAAAGGCTATGCTTCCATCGTTATCAGTTACGTACATACATATGTCTGTAACTTGGGTAAGCGAAATAATCGGTTTCCGTTGATCCTTTATCGTTGTAGAGCTCGTTGCCAGCCTAAGTTTAGTTTCAAAGTAGCGGGCAGGCAAGGGCTGGCCTCGCACTCCCCATCTAGTTCGTCGGCCAAGTTGTCGTGCAATTCTCTCAAGGCCATAAGAGCAGACCGTGCGGCGCGTTGACAACTCATATCACCCTCGCAAGATGAGTCGGCTTCAGAGAGAAACACTAAATCGCACGTCGTAGGTGGAGCTTCACCCTATAAGAAGTAGTGAAATTACTTCACTGTAATAAAATTAAATCTTTTTTAAAATGTCAATGAGTCTTATACTTACACATAAATAGCAAATTTGATGCAAGCTGCACAGTGGTAAAAACAGCTGTCCACGATCTCCAGCCAACAAGTCAACACCTCGGCATCTCTGTACAATCTTTGCCAATACTGGGCATGCGCCGGTAGAGCTGACTGTAATAAAAATATTTTTATGTAATTATATTTTAGAAATAAATAAAGAGAAGCTATTATTTGGGTAGATACTTTATTTTCTACCTGTCGACATAATCGGAGTACGATGTCGTCCGCTGCCACCCATATATCCTTCTGAAAGCTGTTCTTCGGTTTTTCCATTTAGATAATGGCCAGCTCCTTGTTCATCTTCGAAGTCGTCATTCTTTTCGTTATTAACAAGACCAGGTATTTCGTTGCTCATAATTACCTTTTCTTTTTTAATTGCTACCCTTTTATCTTTCGCCTCATTCGAGTCAGGAGAAGAGCGCATAGCTGAGGATACTCTTTGCATTTGCAGACTCTGTTTAAAATCTTTTAATGCTTTGCGCATTTTTTCCAAACTATAAGCCGCTGCTAGACGAGAAAGAAGTTTTTCCTTCATTTCTTGTTCTTCTTTGGAATCAAGTTCCTCTCCAATGTTGGAATAGTGCAATGCCTCATCAACAATTAATCCTTCCATGTTCTTAAGCTTCTTGTCAATATTATCCAGCTTAGAATTATTGTCAGATTCGGTACTCCTCTTTTCATCTTGAATTTCAATAGCTTGAGCACGATTCATTTGCATGTCTGATTCCACATTAGGCTTAGCCTGAACGTAATTTCGTTTAACATAATTATGTTTTCTAAAAGAGGTCAATGGATAAATAACTTCTTTATTAAAAGTGTCAAAGTATTGTTTTTTTAGTCGGTCTTCATTTAGATTATTAACAAAAGAAACAGATTTTTTAAGTCTCTTATCAATTCCGAAATAATCAGACCAATCAATTGATTTTTTTTGAATTTTGATCGGTTTTTCAGACTGTTTGTGGTCATAATCATGATCTTGATGAGCGTGATTATGATCATGTGAATGATTATCACTATCGTGATCATAATGAATGTGTTCATGTACCACTTCCTTTCCTGATACTCCTGGTGGATGAATATTAGGACTATGTTCATCATGAGTAGTATCATCATCATGTCCTGTTTCATTATGTAAATCATTAGTATGGTTATGACTGACTGTTAAAGTCGGTGGCTTAGTTTCATGAGAGTTTTCCAAGTTTTCAATATGCCCACTACTTCGTTTGACAGGAGACTTTATAATAATATTGTCACCATCACCAAATATTTTCGACAAATCTCTTATTAATTTTGGATCTGTTCCAGCACTACTTCTAAAGGACTTTGCGTTGTCACGCTTGGAATGATCTGGAGCAAATCTTTTCTTTTGAGTATTATAGTTATAGGGTCCACTACTTCGCTTCGTCACAGGAAACCGTTTTTCAATAGTGTCATACGCGTACTGGTCTTCATCTGCTAGGTCAGATAAACTATCATCATCTAGGGGTTGGAAAGCAATAGCGTATTCTTCACGCATATCGTCTTTGTCATCATCATCTTCACCATTAGATACTTCGTATGAATTATAGTTGGGATTTACAGGACCGGGAATTTCGTCTAAATTTTCTTTATTGTCATCGTTGTCAGCTGTTATAGATGGCTCCCTTTGATTCAGATTTGAATCTGGACTGCGCTTCCTTTTAAAAGCTATGGGGCCCCAATTATTTGGATATCGTTTTTTGACAATTTTATCTTTATATAATTTTACTACACCTTGAGCATTATCATCATTAGTTGCATGAATTTTATTATTTTTGTATTTTGACCAAAGCTCTCCTAAGAGAAGCGCATACTCAGCATCATTTCGTTGTACGTTTTCTTTGAAATTTTCTTCTCTTGAATTTCTATCCATAAACAAATCTCTTAACTGGTCATTGTCAGAGTGTTGGCTTCTCTCACGAAATGCTGATTCTTGCTTATTTACATTAGGTCTATTATATGCCGAGTTCTTTTTAATGATTTCGTATTCATAGGCTTTAGGCGGTCTTGAATTCCCTTCCAGTAATTTGACAATATATTTTGGTTCTGATTCTTCTTCAATGTCTTCCACGTCGACACCGTAATCAGGTTCTGTAAACAATGGTTAAAGTTTTACTTTTATGTTTTTAATTCATTATAACTAACATATTGTTAATAAGTTATAGTTATAAATAGTTTATTTATAAAAATAAATATCTTATTTTGGATATTATAAAAAGTTTAATAAGTAATGAAGTTAATTATACCGGGATAAGCTTGGGGAGGTATGAAGTCATACAGCATCTCATAGTCCGCCGGAGCTATCGGCCCGTGCATGCGGCCTCGCTGACGACGCTGTAGCGCCTCGAGTGCCCCGCGGAGGGATCCCCCGCGGTCCGCCGTACATGATACCGTACAGGCGGCCACCACCCACAGCCAAAGTATATGCATATTGTAGCACCTGTGATATAAATGAAAATATAAGAAATAAAGTAATATACATTTAAGAATTTAGGATAATAAATTTTTTTTATGGTCCGGCCGAAAGTATTAATGCGGTAGGTTTAGAGATCAGAAGAAAAATATAAAGGGTATTCTAATGTAATGTAATGTAGGGTGGCTGTATGAATCATGGCTAACTTAGCCAGCCTAACTCCGCCCAGAAGCGCAGAAGTTTCCTAGGAACTTCACAGGCTTCACGGATTGACCTCACTGATCCAAGGATTTCTTTGCGTTGACGAGCCACTGCCCTGTGACAATGGCCTGTAATTGTCCCTATCATATTTTTAGGTTGGTTCTGTTGAGACTTAGTAGACGTTTTATCAGTCGCAGGTCTACTGTAGGCAATTCTGTGGTTTGCAACCACCTATGGTTTTGTAGTTCTGTAGATTTTTGGCGGATCCAGGCTCGAACTTGTAAGAAAGGTAGGGGAAGAAGTGGGTACGGGCCGACCACTCATCACGGATCCTCTCTTTGCAAGTTGCATCATTGCCGAGAGATCCACTGTGTCCCTTTAATCACTGAAGAGTAACTCGATTAGTCGAAGATATTATATCTATATATCCAGGGCATGTTGACACTCAGTAATTAGTTTGCTGTTGGTCTGTTTGCTTTCTAGCGCCGTCATTATGGCAGCGTTGTAAGATAGGAATCTTAAACAGTAGTTTTCCAACCCCCGTCTCTGCACTGCTCTTGCGGCTTCTGTTAGGGCTGGCACATTCGCATTGGAAGATCGAGCTGTATGTGCGGTAAATGTATGTTGAAATTCTATTATTTAAAAGTTAAATTTATTTTACAAATTATTCTTTCTCAATAGTAAATTTAAGGAGGCAAGGCACCAGCAATTTTAGCGGTGGACAATTGGCGGTAGGACTATATCTATATAACGTAACAGTTGCTGTTTATACTGTACTTGTAATTTCAACAATATTTATACCATCGAAAAACTAACTATATCAAACCATCGAGCTGATCCGAGCTGGAGTCAGAAAGGCGGTAGCAAATCTTTTTGTTAGCTACTAAAGAATAGAGTTAGAGAATAGAGATCTTTAAGTTTAGGCTCATTTAATTTATTTGAAGGAGTATTATACCAGTTGGCTAAAGGTATGTTTTTGAAATTATAATTATTTAGTAAAACATTAATTGTGTTAATTATTCAAATTTCAAGTAAATTGCCTAATTTTATTTTTTCTTCTTGTTTTGTTTTTCTTATTTAGTTTTGTTATGTGATAAAACTATTTTCTCTTAACCAGGTGTGAGAAAAAAAATAGTTAACCTGGTGAAAGATGATTTTTCTATTATTATTTATTACTAGCATTGCCCGCGGCTCCGCCCGCGTTCAGAAGACCAAAAACCTAATTCTTAGGTTTTACATATTAGTATACTCTTACAATGCAGTTTTTGTGTATTTGTATTTTTTTCTCAGGAATGAGATATTTTCCCGCGGTAAAAAGTAGCCTATATGTTGACCCGGATAACCAGTTATCATTATACCAAATTTCATCAAAATCTGTCCAGTGGTTTTTTCGTGATGGGTAACAGACAGACAGACAGACAGACAAAATTTCTAAAAACTATAGATTCGGATTCTGTATCGATAATAATGTCTATTTCAATTAGATTTCCCAAAAAATATTTAATGTACAGATTTGACTTAGTTAGAATTTAATTATATGTATAGATTAAGATATCATATCGATGACTGTAATATTGTTGTAATACAGTTATACTCGTATTACTGAAGTCAGCAATATAAAATTTTTATTGCTTTACTATACAAAAAATTGGTCATTGTTAGTTAGGCTATCAAAAATACATGATGATCTTTCATTCGTTTACTTTTAAGAGTTATTTGATCGACAGCAAACAAATTACTAATCTAAACTGGATTTTTCCTTGGGGAGATTGACCCCATTTTGCTGAAGTGGTTAGTTAGTAAACGGTATAATTTACGGCGCTCAAACAGAAATTATCTTAATATTCTGTGGTAATTCAAGCATTTTCTAGGATATACAAAATTATTTATGTATTATTTATGTATGTACATATTTCATAAGATATTTAAGAGAACGAGTATAATTTCCAAAAACTTATAAAGTTGAATTATATAAAAAAATTGAAATGATTTTCAACGATCTCTTCAATATTGTAGTAAAGCAACGTGTAAAGAATCATAATAAAAACCTTATATTAGTTCCGGCAATATCTATTTGCAGACGAGGAAACGATAATTTCCTGAACCTTAATAAAGCCTAAACCCATTGAGGTAGGGTTTATCTGTGATAAGGCCGCTTTTATGGTTTATTCGTAGGACTATTAAAAAAATCAATATAATATATATAATATGTAATTATAAAAGTACGCAAAAATATTATACTTTTAAATCATTTTGTGTACATCTTTTACCCGACTACGGCGAAGCTCAAAAGAGAGTTATGTGATTTACCTGTATGTAGGTATATAGATACGTTATTTTCCTTCATTATGTTGTTCCCCTCTTTTTAGTCGCGTTTTTTACCTTTTAATTTAATTTTGTATTAACATATACATATTTAGAGCATAGCAGTATTAAAGCAACGCTTAGTATACTCGTTATATACGATTTCTTGTTTAGCTAATTGTATTTTAAAGGGTTTACAAAAGTAATCAAATTTACGAGTTTCAAAGTCATAATTTGTAATAATTACTTTAAAACAATTTTTGGTTGTCATCTGTATTTTATTATAACAGTTCCAGTTCTCATAATAAAACGTTTGTAATTTAATTACATAATTTAAACGTGATACCTACTTATTAAATTTATATTACAAATCTGCTTTTAGTGCTGCAACATTAAACAAATTTGAGTGAATTACGAAATGGAAATTATTAATATCCGTAATAGCACAAAGACTTACTACGGCACATAGGTAACATATCTTTCGAATAAAATTAAATACCTATTATATTTGACTAACTGGTTTGTTTTGTGATCCATCCTTTGCAACTCTAGGTATATGTTTGTTCACGCTCTCCATAATTTATTTCAATACATATAAAAAACATATAATTAAAGTTGGAGAGGTCTTTATTTATAATAAAAACATCCATGACATTTTGTATTCCTTACAAAAAATATTTTGTTATGAATAATGAAAGAAATAAACAAAATATAATCTAATATCTGCTCCATTTTCATCATGCTGACGCAATTATATTAAAAAAAATATTACTAATACTTATAATAAAATTAAAAATAAAATAAACACATTTCGTTTTAAACCTAGATAAAAATGTTCATCAAAACGTAGCAGTATGTGTTTATATCTACTAAGGTAATAAAATCAATGCTGGCCGATAATATAGGTCACCATTTTCATATACATATATACAATTTGCGAAAATTCAAACAAAGGGATTATCAATTAAATCTGTTAAAACAAAAAACCAAGTATACGATGGACAGAGTCGAACTTAGCCATGGTACAGGTACTTATGTCAGCTGGTTAAATTTATACATACATATATACTTAATATAAATGTACATAGCTTACCTTAAAGCATTTATCACTACACAACAAAACACAGGATTGATTTTTCAGCGCGTATGAACACTAGGACGTCTGGATAACAACTGGGATACTGAAAGTTGGCACCCTGCGCGTGCCCTCGTGCGCCGTAGCCGCGCTTGGGTTCGCTGAGTTTCAGGCTCTACGGAACTCGCTGTGAATGATATGGCTGAAAGATACCAGCGGGGTGGGTCCGCGGGGGAGTTATATAACTGCGATCGATAGAGGAACGAAACCGGGCTTAGGCACAGTACACAGTGGTGTTTATTTATTTTTATTGGAATCAAGTCCACTCTAGTTTATTGCCTGCAGTATTGGATGTGCGACCTGCGTTTGTTTCGCTTTGTTTATTCTTTATTACTGAAATCTGTATATTGGAATAAAGATGGAATATAATTGGTTGACTGTTTGTTTAAAGAATCAAATGTTGTATTTAAAATATTGATTATTATTAATTTTAATTACTGGTTAGAAATTAAAACAGTTTAAATTTTTAAGTAAAAGAATTGAAAAGCTTTTATGTCTCATGAATGAAAATTGAATACAAAGAGCATTTAGATTTGTTTAAAATGAGCTTCGTTCAGTGTTGAATCAGTGGTAGTGGCTTTGAAGATAAACTATGATACAAACATAATTTTCAAGTTAAATATTAACTATAGGTTTATATTATATAATAATTCCAAGAGAATATACTGTTTAAACTCCTTTTATTGTGCAAAATACATAAAAAACACATAATGCGAGTTTAACGCTTTTATAAACTTTATATTGAAATACTTTTTAAAGTTTATTGTATGGAATTGAATGGCTCTGGAAATTACTTTAAGGAAGCTTATCAAAGAATCTTTGTTGGTAAAAAACAATCAAGCTTTTTCTCTTACACTTCTACTCTGCGAGAGTAGAAATATGAGTCATTGTGGAAATTAAAACTTTGTAAACATTCTATAAATTAAGTTACCTGACTTTGTAAGGGTTTTAGCTCTGACCTCTTACTTGTTTGGTATTTACATTGTTACTTTGTTAGTTACATTCTAAAAGCAATATAATCAAGCATAGAGAGTTTGTGACCGAGCAGACAACTTTGTTGATACATGTACAACTACTTTAACTATCCTGTTGATGGCAAAGTTACAGCCATATTACCTACTGTTATTGTTTTAAAGTTTATCGTATAATTCATTATATCATTATATATATTTTATATTATATAATGTAGTAGGAAGGCAGTGGTAGCCCAGTGGTAACGCGCTCGCTTAGGAAACAGAGTGAAGCGAGTTCAAATCCCGGGTCTCACACGTCTGATATTTTTATGTGCGAATCATTTCCAACATGATTCCCACTTGTCTTAACGGCGAAGGAAAACATCATGAGAACACCTGCATGTCTGAGAGAACCTATCAAGTTCTCAAAAGACATGTGAAGTCCGCCAACCCGCACTTGTTTAGCGTGATGGACTATGGCCCTTGTACTGAAGAGAGGCCCGTGACCAGCAGTGGGATGTTAAAAAGGGCTGAATATGGAGGTACAGAAAACAACCAAAGTAGATGAGACATGTTGATGATCATGAAGATGCTATTTTTAAATTTTAAGTGAAAAGCTACACTACTGCTGCACCCGTTATTTTTAAAAAAAAAACAATATTGGTCGCAATAAGATTTCGCATAGGTAACGCAAAAAAAAAACACATTCGAATGTACTACCTTTTTGATGTCGTCCAATCTTATTGATACGATAGGTAGTAGTTATACATAAGTAAAATCTCACTTTTTTTAACTTTTATGTAAAAGGATATTCATGATATATCATATTTATATTTGTTAGCTCAATTTCAGGTTAATTTTGTATTCTTAAGTTATTTTCGTCTATTAATATATTAATTATTATCTGACCTTTAGTTATATGTACAACCTTCTAATGCTCATTAAGTTTGATTTTAAAGTTTAAACAAATAGTTTTATGCAACCAATGTTTGAAAACTTAAACAAACTTTCTTAAGTAAACAATAGATACTTTGTTAACTTATGCTTTATTGTTAGAAATTGTTTATTCTCTCTAGAGTAAAATATTGAAATAATAAAGAAATAAGTTAAAATATCTCTTTCATTTTTACAGTGCAGATGTGGGCATCAATCATTCGTGAAAAAATATTTACTTTTTAAATTGAAATTGATTTTATAAAATCCGTTCAGCCTCACGTTAGGCACGTTTTCTTTTTAAACACAAACGTTGAGAACCCTTAATTTCATTACGTAGGAAAAATTTCTATTGTGAACGCAGTTTAAGTGGACGCCTTCAGAGGCATCTCATTCTTCCATCGCGGTATTTAATTGAAGTCGACCGTCGCCGTAATTATACTTATTGCTCCCTCTCCGTTTGCGGCGTTTAGATTTTGTAATACTATTGGTAGTACATACATATATGTACTTATAAAGCTTTTCGTTATCACTATGTTTCATAATGAAATTCTCGTTGACGTCGTATATTAAAACTCTTAAAGTTATCATTATGGTTTATTTATTATTATTCTTCTGTTGAAGTTTATCATAAACTATTTATTACAACAAATAAAAGACTAATAAAAGCTTAATATTGTATATGTATACTAGCGACTCACCCTCGCTCCGCTCGGGTTCGTCCCTAGTTACGTTTAGCGTATAATATAGATTTCTCAGAGATGAGATATTTTCCCGCAGTAAAAAGTACCCTATATGTTGAGCCGGATAACCAGCTATCATCATACCAAATTTCATCAAAATCTGTTCAGTGGTATTGTCGTGATGCGTTAACACACAGACAGACAGAGAGCCAAAAAATCTAAAAACCAAAGATTTGGCCTCTGTATCAACAACAATGTCTATTTCAATAAAATTTACAAGAAAATATTAAATATATGGCTTAGTTACAGTTTTATTATATGTATAGATCATTTTCTTGTTTTTTATTCTTATTGGACTATAATGTGATATACCTACTATACCAGAATTTTCGCTATCGCCATCTGCCCTTCATTGGCACGGTCAAGGTTGAAAACTCTATATAATATGTCCAATTCGTTGCCTTCATAAATCACTCGAGGGTACAAAACCGAAATTCGCTGAGTGGCAATTATTATGAGTATGGAATGTTATAGAAGCTCGACAAGAGTGTTAAACTTCGTGTTTAAGTGCCCCGATGACAGCTCAAGTTTTGTTTGAGACGCTTCAAAGTTGTTTTGAAACAACGCCAACAGCTATTTGAAATATATACGTAAATAATTACTGGATAAATTAAGTATTTTATTAGTTTACTACGATGACTAAGTAAAATGAGAATGAAATAAGAAAAAAATATGTAGAGATCGCTGCACTTGTCTCTCTTTTCTCTCTCGCTAACCCGCAAGGGATATGGCGTAAATATTTGAAATGAAGCACATACATATTTGTATTGAACACGAATAAAATATTTGTTGTTTTTGTACTTATTTATTTTTAAAACATAAACATATATATTCGCAATGCATCGAATTTGCATTGAATTTGAGAAAATTAGAAAAGTACCTAAAATGTACGAATAAATTATGTAACTTACAATATCAATGGCATAACAGATCTTATGAAATCATTCTGTGTTCACTTAAAGTCTAACAGTTATCGATTACAGAATATAATGGATTATCTTACTCTATATCTACTTAGTACGTGAATATTAAGAAAAACGTATTACATATTTTTAATGTATCAAAATGACATTATAAAAAATATAATTAAATTAATTGATCGGTAACACATACGTATTTAGGACTCTTTCATTTATATGAAACAAAACAAAATAGGCGCAAAAGTTCACAAATTTGTACCTGATATTGTTGTACCCGAACAAGTTAACTTAATACAATTAAACTTAAAAAATATATAATATCCCATGATGGCACTTCCTGACTATACAAATCGTAAAGCTGGGCAAGATTAGCTTCTATTACTGATTAAAATACAACATTAGGTAATATCCTTATTGACCAACAAATGAGATTAAACTTATTATAGTTATATCTAATAATCATAAATTACCAGTATTATTTATATTCGAATATAATAAAAAATAATGATAAATATAAGAATTCTAGAATTCATCGTTCGGTTCTTCCGCATCGGCCAGTTTAACAAGACCTATAAAGCTCTTCTCGGGCTGCATCAGCGAGTGCCTATCTCCACCGGTGTTCCTCACAGCGAGTCTGTCTCCGGCTTTCAGGAAGAGAGCAGAAGCAGAGAAGCATGAGTTAGGTTTGTCGAGACGCTCTGAAGAGTGGGACGACTGCGCGCACTGTAGGAGTGTCTCCCGCTCTTCAGAGTAGGGGCTCGAGCGGTGCAACACCCAGGAAATTATGTCGTGGCTGTCTAGGTAGTATATCTAAAAATAAATTTATAATTCAACATAAATAAACATACTATAGTACAACCTTATATTGGTGTAATCATTATAATACTATTTGTGTCAAACAGCTGGCCAGATTTGGATGAAATTTTAGATACAGATAAATAAGTACAGAGTATTTCATAGAACGCAGTTAGTAATAAAAAGAAATTGATATGGTGGCGCTGCCTATTTATCATATTTTAAAAACAAAAGATACCTAAAGGCGCACCCGAAAGAAACGACGGTAAGTCGCTTTTGTGACAAATTTATTTGCTAAGTAAAATGTATTTTAAATTACTATTTACATAGAACAAACGATATTAGAAAGAACGACCTATAAAGTCTACTCAGTCTAACAAAGAGCTACGTTACCTGAACATAAACAAAGTAAACTCCAGTATGGTGTACGTGTATATGGCCGGTCCTGGTGAGCGTGGGGCGCGGGTGCGGCGACGCGGCGGTCCAGGGCGCGGGGTACCACACGTCGTGCGCCGCGCCGTGCGCCACCCGGACTAGACCGTTGCCTAATTTAACACATACATACGAGCAGAATTAAAACACATGACTAGATATATATATATATATATAAAAGACAAAGATAATATACAATTTGACTGAAGTTTGGTTCAATGTAACAAAGTTAAACGAGAAATATAAGGTAGGCTATTAATGTCGTTAGATAATTATATTATTTTTTAGTATGATTACATGTCAGGTCATTATCAGACGAATTAAATATAAAATTTATATAATTGTGCTGTAGTCAATGCTAAAGCCAAAAATAAAACCAAAAATGTGTTCAGTGGTATTCAATTATCTCTGTAAGCGCTCACGGAATTAGCGAAAATAACTTATAACGAGACACAAAGGATCTTCAGATTGATCGTATGTCGTCCTAACACAAAAAAATTATACTATATGCACATGTATTAATAAATAAAAATCTATATAAATAAAAATGAATCACCGAAATGTATGTACACGCATAACTTGCGATCGACTGCACCAAATTGGATAATTCTTTTTTTTTGTGTTTGTTATTGTCAGGACAAGTTTTGTATAGAAGAAAAAAAAATTTTTTTTTACTAAAATAAGATTTTTTTAAATCTCATGATATCAAAAGTGAGTGAGTGAAATATTTTTTATCACAGAAATCATCCCTTAAGAGGGTGGGGATGGGGATGAAAGTCATTAGTATGGGGAAGCAAGCGAGGGACAAACCCGAACCAAGCGAGGGTGAGTTGCTAGTTAAAAATAATATATTGAACCACACAAATAAAATATTGTTTTATTAAAATCATTTAAAAGTTGAGTTATTTTCGCACTATATGCTTAATATGTAGCGTAGGTAATATCATGAATCCGTGCAAATTTTTTATAACCAAATAAAGCGCTTCGGGCTAGAGGTTATTAAGAACCTCGACACGTATTACATACAAATTACGTCTATAGCGCCAAATTACATTCCATTTAAGACGTGATGGTGGTGTTTTTAATCCTGACCCAATAATTTGGTCATCTTACAAAGTTAAGTAACCACCATATAGAGTAAAGCATAAATATTTTAATTTAGGCTCTAAAAAATCGAGGTTACAAGCCTTTTTATTTATATCTTTTTTATTTATCAGTTTGCATTCATGTAAAAGGTAGAAGAAAATGTATGTTATTTTAAAAGATAATATTTTCTTTTATGATTTATTTATCATACGTTTTAAAATGGTGTCATTAAAATATGTAATATTTATTATTTAAAGTTTAATAACTAACAATAAATAAAATAAAAAATATATTCAGGTAACAAGTTATAAATTAATAATAAAAAAAAACCCCGACCGACATCTTGGACCGATTTTCATCAAACATAGCTAACAACACTCCCGACCAATTCACCTTTCAAACAAAAAGAAACAAAATCAAAATCGGTTCATCTGTTCGGGAGCTACGATGTCACAGAGAGACACACCTCATAACACCCCGTCAAACTTATAACACCGCGTCGTTTTTGCGTCGGGAATTAAAAATACACCAGATTGCTGCAATTATAAAGGTATTTTACCTTTGAAATGTTCGTGAATCTCTGGGCTTAGATGTGACGTGTTGCCATGGAAATGAGCCGCTATGAAAGGCCTCCGTGGGCTGCCATCCTGAAAATATAATTAATCAGAGTATTATATACCTACGTCTTGTTTACTCAGATATCATTAAAAAATTATGAATTTATATTTTGTTGCTTAATATGTCCTTAGACCTAATTATTGTAATGATTACTGCCTAAAAAATAATCTAACAATAAGGGCTTTAAGGCAGGTTAAACTTGAGTACTTTTTACAGTGTATAGATATTTATTTATAAACTACTAGCGACTCACACTCGCTTCGCTCGGGTTCGTCCCTAGGTTGATTAACCATACAAACTTTCATCCCCATTTTCACTCCCTTAAGGGATTATTTAAAGGATAAAGTGTATCCTATGTCCTTTCCTGGGTCTTAAACTATCTTCTTACCAAATTACATCTAAATCGGTTCAGTAGATCCAGAGATTACCCCCTACAACGTCACAAACTTTACTTCTTTATAATATTAGAATAGATTATAATCTCTCATAACTAAGGAAAGTAAATATCTTATATATATACTATAGGAGCGTTCTTAATTAGAGTTTTGGAGTTTTATTATTTATTTCTATCGATACTTTAATAAGTTTCGGGGCTTATCGTACTTTTGGTTTCATTCCATTTAGTCATTGCCGTTGGAAACTTTATAATCGATATTACCTAAAATTACGTAATATTAGCATAGTAACTAACGCTTGATACTTTCTTTTAAACTGAAAATAAAAATCTGCTATGTAATATCACATGCATATCTTGAATTGATATTTAAAAGAACTAAAAAATATAACAAGCCCTTTGATATTTTGCTATATAAGTTTCCATTTTAATTTTTGTTCAATTGAATTGGAATTAAGATTTAGTCAAAATTTACCCTAAGGACTGCTATGTTATATTCCATAAAAGCATTGTAACTGATTTAGAATTTCTGGTCGATCGGTTTTAAATTTTTGAATTTTTATAAATGAATTGGATACTTTATTAACATGGTTCTTTGTGTTAAAACGTACAAAACATTTGAAAAAATTATGTAACTCTTTAAGCGCCTCCTTTAACACTTTTTAGTCATTCTACATTTATATAAACACAATTGTATTTTATTGGATTCTATTCTTATATTTTGTTATTGTTAGCGTCTACGTCATTTTCTTCAAGAAGAAAATTAATTTACTTTCTTGTTTTATTATTAAAAGGAATCCTGTGAAACTTTTTTGTTCATCAAAACTTCAGAATATTTATTTGCTGACATGAACAGAGTAGAATAAAAATTATTCATATTTTTTACTTAAAAAACAACCAGAAAGCCGGCTTTCAGTAGCTTTTTGTCGTATTTTGTATTCAGCCCTTTTTTAACGTCCCATTTCTCGGCACGGGCCTCCTTCACTACGAGGGTGATCAATCCGTAGTCCACCACGCTGGCCAAGTACGAATTGGCGGACTTTACATGTCTTTCGAAAACTTGCTAGGTTTTCTCAGACATGCAGGTTTCCTCACAATGTACATATTTCATTTACGATAGGTAAGGAAGTGATAATCACGTTAGAAATTATTTGCACATGAAAATATCAGAGTCAAGTTTCAAATATAGAAAAGAATAAATTAAAGTTAAAATCCATATTTTTGGAATTTTCGTACAGGATTGCTTAAGCGTATCTCTTTTTTGGAATAGAATAAAAAATTGAATCAAGTCTTATAAACAAAGTGACTTTTAAAAAATATGACATTTTGATTACAAGTTAATAAATGAATGATTAAAAGCAAAGCCAATATTCATTAGTGAATTAGCAGTAAAATAGAATTTATTTACAGCCACTTGTCAGGAATAACTTAGTATTATAAGATCTATAATGACTCGAAAAAACACTACATACCTATCGTACATTTATACACACGTTCGCCAATGGTCGAAATTCGAAAGCGATTATTAAAAATTTGAAGAAAATATAATATATGAACAGAATTTACTTATCTATACAAAAAAACTCTAGTTTAGTGTTACTCGTCAATATGTAAAAATGTAGAAAAAACCATCGGTTGACAAATAGAGGAGAAAAAGGCTCTGAACTGTTTTGTCTTTGCCTATTTATATAAAAGTAATAATAGAATAGAAGAAAGTTATATAAAATTCGTAATAGCTTACCTCGTCGTTGCTGTTTCTCGCAGTCCTCGACACAGTTTGTAAGCTCATCTTGCCCATTAAGTCTGAGTTCCGTAAGAACTTCTTGGTTTTACGTCTGTAACAAAATTTATAATACTTTGTATTATGTTTATTTTCTTAACACTTTCATTTTACGATTAGCAGATAAATCTATATAAATAAAAATGTATCACCGAAATGTATGTATTTACACGCATAACTATTTGTGTTTCTTATTGTCAGAAAGTTTTTTATACAAGAAAATTAAAAGAAAAACATTTTTTTTTGTCTCATGATATGAATGAAAGTGAAATCATCCCTTAAGGGGGTGAGATTTGGGATGAACGTTTGTATGGGGAAGCAAGCTAGGGACAAACCGCGCGAAGCGAGAGTGAGTCACTAGTGATATATAAATAAAAATTAAATTATAAGTTAAATTAATATAAACGTTAAGCAATAGAAAAAGTTGATTGATACAAATGTAATTTCATTGTTTACGTATTTGATAGGGTACATGTGTATTGATGGTGGACCTAATAAGCCCCAAACTTTTAAATCCGTTAAAACCGCCACTAAGCTACGTGAAGAAGTAACTAACACACCCACAAATTATCGCATTTATAATATTAGTGTGTATTTTGGATGTAACTTTACTTTTCTTTATTTAGAAAATAAACTTATATGATTTATTTATTATTATATTTTTTTATATTTTCTTCATTAAAATATATTAGGTATGCTGTATCGGCGTTCGTCTTCCTGAAACTTAGCTCAGAATAAGAACTTAGAATCCTGCATTACAATTTTGCAGGACCCCTCTCTACATTCAAGACTCGAATGTTAAAGACTTCTTAATGACACTTGTTACAAAGTATGAGCTACTTGAACGTTAGGCACGTAATTACTTTTAACTAAAAATGTACACCGCTGACATTGACGATGTAATCTTTCTCAACTTTTATGTTAAGTTATGGCAAGCTTTAAAAAGCTCTTTAAAGCCATTTAAGAAATTTTCGCTTTTTAAAGCTTTTAAGAACATTTTATTGAATAGGTCGGTCGACTTTAATAATCCCTTAAAAATAATTGTGCCCGAACGGATGGAATATTTTCTTGAAATTTACTTAATATAAATAAATATAAAATAATTTGTACCGTAGTTATATACCAAGTAAGCGTCATCTTTGGTAATAAACTAGATTAGACTTTTTCTCATCATGTTATACGCTTTAAACATACATATTTATGAAAATATAAAAAAGTTAAAAGATAACTTTCAATTTTTATTATATAGTATTATGTATAATTAAAAATTATAAAACAAAATTTATAGTGAGATTAAAATTTATTTTAAAATATATCCGAAAATAACATTAAATTTTAAGTAATAGTATGAAAAAATGTTTTAAAAGACAACAAAATCGAAAGTGCACCATATTACAAGACTTCCCCGATATACAATAGCATTCCCAAGGAGGGTTGACGTCAGGCAGGCAGCCGGTCGTAAAACTTTGGCCAAATCCTTTCAGCAGTACAGAAGATGTACTGCGCCGACCCCAAGTGATTGGGAAATGGGCAGGGAGAAGAAGAAGATGTATAAAATAATTATGAATGAAACTATTTCTTCCAATGAATTTACTCGTCTGGCAGGTATAGGTAGTAATTAAAAGTAACATCTGTTTTGAAGGTTATAAGCTATCTTCCTTATTCAAAAGTGCTTGTATTGAGTCTAATTGATTAAGTTTAAGTCCATTTCATTACGTGTCGCACAGCTTTTAGAAGTAATAAAAACACAATAACATTTATGTTACCTATTGTATTGTATTCAGCCCTTCCCACTGCTGGGCACGGGCCTCCCTTCAATACGAGGGGGATCAGGCCATAGTCCATCACGCTGGCCAAGTGCGGGTTGGCGGACTTCACATGTCTTTCGAAAGCTTGCTAAGTTCTCTAAGACATGCAGGTTTCCTCACGATGTTTTCCTTCACCGTTAATACAAGTGGTAATCATGTTGGAAATGATTCGCACATGGAAATATCAGAGGTGCGAGACCCGGGACTTGAACCCACTTTACTCGGTTTCCCAAGCGAGAGCGTTTCCACTGGGCTACCACTGCCTTGCGTTACCTATACGTATTTATTTTTCATATATGAACTAAGATATTATAAATGAATTAACAATTTACTACAAAATGTTAGTTTGATATTATAATTTAAAACCTCTGCATTTAGCCATAACTTTTTAAACACTTAGTAGGTTTCGCGGTTACATGCCACTATAAATTTATTACGAAATGCATATCAAATTCCATACACCTATTATCTAAAGCGAAACAAACGAGAATAAGGCACAAATATGTATATAACGTAGGTATAGGTATAGAAGACTTAGGCTATTGATTTCGTCGCGCCGGGATGGTTTATATTACAAGATCGTACTTATAATGTGCGGGGATATTAAGTTTGCCACCGAGCTAAGTCACGTAGGAGACTTTGATATTGAGGTATACATATATAATAATTTCTATATATGTATGGATATATATTATACATTCTATATAGGTACATAAAAATTGTTTAGTTCTTTTTATTTCTTCGATACTTATATGAAAAAAATATGCAAGCTCAAAGGTAGAAATTTTTAATATAAAAGATTTTATTGCTTAAACTTTAGATAATTTTGATTTAGAGAGATTTTAAATATATTTCAATAAGCTCAAGTCCAAGACTAGACTATGTGGAGAGGACCTCATGGGCACAGAAGCAGAAGGAGACCAAAGGCAAGGTGGAAGGACGAGATAGAGATCGTTGGAACACGCAATTGGTACAACCTCGCAAGGAATTGCGACAAGTGGCAATCTCTGGAGGAGGCCTTCACCCGAAGAGGGGTCCAGATGGCATATATATCGGACTAACAATATTCACGCCTATTTATACGAATGTACGTGCCAATGGAATAATAAACGCTTTTTATTTTATTTATTTATTAAGTCCAAGACTAAGTCCTCTCTTTATTACTTTATTATTATAGATAGAGTTCATTAAATTGTTCAATTTTTTGCCTTGAACGAAGCAAGTTCCTTGTCGTAATGAATACAGTGTTTAAGTCCGACCGCCGTCTTCCGTCGTATAATTTCGCTACAAACCGCTCTAATTAGAGCGGAAAAACTTTCAACTTGCGAAGTATTTCAAAGTAAAATATTCTTGATACACGACGTTGTAAAGTAAATTTTCTTTTTATACTTGACATAAATTTCTTATGTTCCACTACGGTAAAAGCACATTTTAAATTTAATGTAGCTTTGTAAGCTTTTCTCTATCTCTTTACTCGTATAGTTTCGCACTATTTTCTTTAGCAGTTAGTAGTTAGAGAGATAATATTAATTACTTGGTAGATATATATATATATATATATATATATATATATATATATATATATATATATATATATATATATATATATATAGTGATGTTATAAGGTTTTCCGTACCCAGACTAAAAAACCACATACATATATATTTATTCTTATAATCACTACATATTCCATATTACTACTACTACTTGCTTATAATTTAAAACTAGAAATACATATAATTGAAATATTTAATTTTAAAGATTAAGTAAGGAACTCTAAAAACATGTCATACACGTTCTCATACATAGTGCAACATGATAGGTACTGCGGTTGCATTCTGCCGCTGCAGCGTAATCGCAAACCTTAAACAAGTTTTATATATTATAGTGGACTTCAAATTTTATATTACTTTTTATATATAAACCAATATAACGCTATAAATGCTTTAACGAAAATGAGACTAATAATAGATGTTAAAAGTAAGGGTTTAGACAAGATGCGTTTTTAATCAATCGATCAATCACCATTCACCAATAGAAATCGTAAAAATGTATGTATGGTGGCGTCTTCAACGCGATAGGCCTTTTTAATTATTATGGTTGACACTTTTAAGGCTTCCTGATTAGATATTCAAATTCATTTACCAGACACTCGACTTCACCCATTTTATATAAAGTGTTTCATACATGGTGCATACAATTTCAGTCTGAAAATAACTTGTAAAAGGGATTATCTCACGTGTGTTCTATATTCGGAAATCGAATGTGCAATTCTGGCCAGCCTCTATATTTAAATATTTTTTAGACGATTAAATGATTCCTAAAATCTACATGCCGGAACGTAATATCGCATTGTTTGCTAAAAATATATGGACGAACGAATCAAGGAGGGGCTTGCATCCTGTGCTGCATTAAAAATTTACTGTTGCATTTTAACAATAATAGTAAACATTCATAAATCTCAGAGTTACTTTTATTAAAGCTGACCTAATAAAACTCCTTTTAAGGTTTATACTCTATAGTCAACGTGAAATATTGGCCGTATAGTTTTAACGGGCTATATACTCGATGCCTTTAAAGAAAAGATATGGAGCTAGGACAGCATTTAACATTTATGTATATGTGAAAGTACTTTTAATTTACTTGTTTTTTCTACGAATGTTATTCGGTTTTATCTAGAAATTATATTTTTAAGTACCTTTCTTCCATTTTCGACATGATTCTGGGTTCAGCAAAGTCGGGGATATTCTCAGGAGAAGCTTCAGGGAACACGCTTCGCTTGTCGCGGCTACTGGGCGCCTCTGTTGATGACGAAGATACTGATAATTCTGTAAAGTTATTTTCTCATATATTGTCCCTTTCATGTTTTTTTTTTAATTTGCTATAAAAACGAGAGTTAGTTCTGAGAAAAATTGACAAATTACCATATATTAGAATATTCAAATTTAAGAGATGGAGAGATTATAACAAAGTAAGTAAATTCAATTACCTATATCTTCTGTCTCAGGGTCATTGTTAAGCTTTTTCTTGATATCGGATACCAGCTCCTCTTTAACAATTACCATAGCATCTGTGAAATCTTCAGGCTTTAAATGCACCATATTCGAAGTCCCGATCTGAACAAAATGAAAGTATTCTTACTAGGTATGAAGTTATGTGGGCTTTTTTAATAATGATTTTATTTGAATTACATATGTACATATATACTAATAAGAACGGAATAAATTATTGATATCTATACATATAATAAAATTGTAACTAAGCCGAATCTGTACATTAAATATATTTTGGAAAATCTTTTTGAAATAAATATTATTATTATACAGAAACCGAATCTATAGTTTATAATTTTTTGTTTGTCTGTCTGTTTGTCTGTTACCGCATCACAGAAAAACCACGGGAGGGATTTTGATGAAATTTGATATGATGGTAGTTGGTTATCCGGGTCAACATATAGGATACTGTTTACCGCGGGATAAAGTCTCATTTCTGAAAAAAAACACAAAACTGTAATGTAAGAGTATACTAATATTAATATATAAAACCTAAGAATTTGGTTTTTGGTCACCTGAACGCGGGCGGAGCCGCGGGAAATGCTAGTCTTTTATAATATTTTAAATGTGATTTTTTTGTATATTGGTTATATTATGTATGTATGTTGTTGTTGTATTAGTATGTCTTTATTCCATGCAAATCGAAATAATTTAACTATTTTATGGTAATTCATCGTGTACTTCTTGTGATATTCTGGAACTTTAGCATCACAAAAGACAGTGCAACACCTTTTGAGTTATATATTTATCAATAAAATAAGCTAGTTTAAACTTCTTGCGTGAGAAGTCACAGTTGACTAGTTTTATTTATGAATACCTCGGCTGATGACCGAGCTTCGCTCGGCGTAGGAGCTCATTTAGTAGGTCATCATCCATTGGCAACAATGAAATTACCACAAAAATTTACGACATGGCGCTATACGACATTGTGAGCACGAGAGCAGATAGAAAAAGTCTCTAATAATAATAGTTATAAAAAAAATTTTTTTTACGAAAAATTGTGTTTTCTTTTGGAAAAAACACCTTTAGGTATAGATAAAAGCAAAATCTTATCTAAATACAAAATTTGATCCATATTGTTAAAGCCGTTTCGAGATATAAATAAATGCCAAAATTTTGATTTCAGACCTTAATTGAATGGTCTAAAAGGCCGAATAATTTTCATCCACGATGTATTTTAAATTTGGTGTAGGTATGTACCTTTTTAATTATTTAGTAATTATTTTAAGTAACTGGAACCGCTTTCCCCCAATAATTTAAAATAATAATAGATTTTATAAAAAAATCAAACACAAAATTTTAAGGTTGGAAAATATATTCATTTGCAAATAAAGCACATTGATCGCAAATCTTTATACTCGTTTTCAAACATACATACTCGTATAATATAAACAAAATCGTTAATGTTTCAACACTTCTGATGCTTCAACCGAATGAAAACAAAATATTTAGGACAAATTCTACTGGAAAATGCTAAAATAAGGAGAGATCATAAATAAATACATCAAAAGTCGAAACTTTATACTTTAAAATGATGCGATGAATGGAAGTGTCTGTCTGTGAATTCAAAATAGCCACCTTATTGAGCTCGTATTGCTATTTGCACGATAAAAACCCTGAATAACTGTTAAAACAATATTTGATGATTTTACTGGGACATCAAAGTGGGGTTCGAGGATTACATTCAGGGTGACATTGTAGGACATAAAGTACTCTTACGTACATCCCTTCCTCCTTATTATTATAGATGAAAAATCAGATGTTTTTAATGTGGTTGTTATTTCAATGGGAGGAATCGGTTTATAGTGACAGGAATTTTTTTCTGAAAAAAAAAGAACTTCAGGCTTCAGGGAGCTTTTGATAGTGTACCTACTGAAAGCTGCAGCGAAGCAAGGGTGTGACACTGTTATAATCCTTCGCACTATAGTGACTTATATTAACTTAGTACCTACTACTTACTCCTAGCCTCCTGAAGGCAGTGGTAACGCGCTCGCTTGGGAAACCAAGTGAAGCGGGTTCAAATCCCGGGTCACGCACCTCTGATATTTTCATGTGCGAATCATTTCTAACATGATTACCACTTGCTTTACGGTGAAGGAAAACATCCTGAGGAAATCTGCGTGACTGAGACAACCTAGCAAGTTTTCGAAAGAGATGTGAAGTCCGCCAACCCGCACTTAGCCAGCGTGGTGGACTATGGCCTGATCCCCTTGTATTGAGGAAGACCCGTGTCCAGAAGTGGGACGTTAAAAAGGGCTGAATACATACCTACACCCATTCATTAATTACCAAAACAATATTTATAACATATAAGAATGAGTAACCCATCTACTCATTTCCTACAGAGTTCATATGGATCGATAACACGCATAGGCTTTTAGACTAATCCTATTTGAAAACGGTACCAACTTTGTATAGGTATGATGATATAATGAGATTAGCAACTAACTGTACTTTGGAATTATAAAATATACCTATTAGTTGTTTCTTGATGAAATTTATTAAAGCATTATACTGAAATGAGGTCGCGTCACTTTGATTGGAGTTACATTATGAATATCTTATGTTACTTACAATTAGAAGGAATTTCAGTATTGATTTTAGGCTCGCCTTACAACCTAGGACTTAGAAAGGCATATCTCATAATGAAAAATGTCAATCGGTCTGGATATTATTTTTATTATTAAAACTAGCATTGCCTGCAGCTCCGCCCGCGTTCAGAAGACCAAAAACCAAATTCTTAGGTTTTACATATTAGTATACTCTTAAATTGCAGTTTTTGCTTTTTTTCTCAGAAATGAGATATTATCCTGCGGTAAAAAGTACCCTATAAGTTGACTCGAATAACCAGCTATCACCATTCCAAATTTCATCAAAATCCCTCCAGTGGTTTTTCTGTGATGCGGTAACAGACAGACAGAGAGAGAATCAAAAATGCTAAAAACTATCAATTCGGCCTCTGTATCGATAATAATTTTTATTTCAATAAGATTTTCCAAAAAATATTTAATGTACAGATTCGGCTTAGTTACAATTTTATTATATGTACGCTAGTACCATGAAACTTTTAACATATCCCGGGTATAAGCTTTAGATTTTTATTAAAATAATGTTGTTTATAGTGTCGACTAAAATTCATATGTTATCTATATATATAAAAGAAAGTCGTGTTAGTTACTTCGCTTATAACTCAAGAACGGCTGAACCGATTTAGCTGAAAATTGGCAGGGAGGTAGTTTAGAGCCAGGAGAAGGACATAGGATACTTTTTATCCCGTTCGACCGCGTTCCAATTTTTATGATATTTTAATTTTTGGATTTCTCTTAGTCCGGAATAGGTAAGTATTAAAACATATAATTAAAATGTGAGAAAGAAAGATTTTTTCTTTTTATATCTATTTAAAACGTACCTAGCGACGAACCCGAGCGAAGCGAGGGTGAGCCGCTAGTAATTTTATACACCCTGGTTGTATATTAAAGCAATATGAAACATTATAAATCATGTGCAGCATAAAATTAAATATTATTTACTTTACTGAGTGTGCTTGTTGAAAGTAAGACGCAGCAATTTAAATACTGCAAAACAGCTGTCTGTGAGATGAACCTTGGAAAATTAGGTTAGTACAACTTTATGGTGAATAAAACATAATCACTGGATTTTTCTTTCTATAAAATATACATGACCGAGTTACAGATTAAAAACACTGATTGACTGATGAAATATCTGGGTTTTGCTATTTCGTCCAAAGTATATCGAACGTGTTTTTAAGGTTACCTATGTACGTAACATACAAGTCTGGCAAGTAAAAAAGGATCTTCAAAAAGAACAACGATTTTTTTAAAACAGCTTATGAGATTTTGTGTGACAAAAATGTGAAAACTTTCGGTATTCATCATGAGTTGAAAGCAGTAGTACTTTGAGTACGTAAAAGTTTGAAAATTATCGAATAAGGCGATAATCAAACTTGTAGAAAACGGTATGTGAACTCTGATTTTTTCTTTTTTCTTTCTATTTACATAAATACTATTTTCTGCCCGTGGCTCCGCTCGCTTGTCAAACCATTAGGTATATCAACGTGATACGCTGTGCCCTCACCAAATTTCTTCGAAATCTGTTCAGCGATAGCGAAACAGACATACAGAATAACAACTCTTGTCCATCAACTGTGGTCTGTGACTCTTAGTTCTTAACAAAAAAAACAATTCTTTTCTAAACTAAGTAATTTTTTATTCTTACGCCAATTATACGTATAAATATACGTTTACCTACTGCCTCGTTAGTCTAGCTATTACCTAACATGTATGGCTGTATTTCCGGAGGTCCTGGGTTCGAGTCCCTTATATATAATAGTTATAGGGTTCTTCTGTCATATATTTCTTTATGTACCTGTCATATCTCAATAACTATATGCTGTTACTTTATCCCGGAGTTGGGAAACAGGTGTAGAATGATTATCCCACTGGAGCTTTAGAGTGAAAGGAAAGGGACAGTTGTGCTTAAACTTAAACTTGTGCACCAATTCCAAGATAGAGACGCCGACGTCCGACGCCGAAATCGGTCAGGAGGATATCTGTATTATTAAACCTAATAAAGAAAAAACACTGACCTTCTCTCTGCGCCTGTCGTAGTCCGGATACCAGTCGCCGCTCTCCGCATCTTCGTCTCCATCGTACAAATCTTCGTCGTCACCAAATTGACTGTCATCTTCTAATACTGTTAGACCTTTTATCTTTTCAAGAGACTCGAAACCTTGCTTTTCTTTACTCGAATCTTTGGCGTCTTCAACTAAATTGCTGTCTTGGTCTTCATCAGCGTATAACTGTGAAGTAATTAATCTTTTAGTGATATTATACTACGATCAGGTTCACTAGCCTTAATTGTTTTTATTATGGTTTTTGTCGCATAGCGAGGAGGTACAATCTTAATTCTATATTTTTGTACGACATTTTTTTATTATAACACATAGTTATAATAAAAAAACATATTTTAATAAAAAAAATGAAATGCTGTTCGCTGGTAAGCGCATCACTTGAGAACAGATGGAGTGTTTTGGCATTTTTAAATATTTCTAATATCCGGGTAAGATTTTTAGGTGGAAAATTCGAAAAACTCCTTTTGTTTTAAAAGTAAAATTAAGAAATTTGTAACTGTTTTTTTTATATATTTTTTTATTTTTGCTAACTCAAATATCATAAATAATAATAAGTCGGGTCTAGCTTAGTTGGTGTAAAACAAATATTCGTATATTTATACTTTATTACAACTTTTATGACGTAACTTAATGACTTATATATATTTGTAATCAATCTTGTAGGCTACGTTAGCGTATTTTCGGAGCCCTTTATCGATACTTAGTTACCATGTATCGTCTCGCCTCGGTGTCAAGTTACTTTGATAGATTACCTGGAGCCGTGTGCCGAGTAAGTATTGATAAAATGTCATGTTTAATGCTCTTAATACATATGTATATAAAAGTAAAAGTTTTTGCGAATAAAATACATAGAAGCAAGGACAATTTCTAGGATTTGTCATTTGACCGAGCATGTCGAGAAATGCTAAACTAATGTGAGAAAAACTTTTTAATTGTACAGGTAAAGAACAATATGATTGTAACAACTAAATTTTATTTCCATCCATCAAACGAACTCAAAGACATGAACTCCCTACTCTACGCTCTATCATGTAAAGACTAAAGATATTATATTTAATAATAAATAATAATTAATACACAAACAAACAAAATCGCAGACTGATGCTAGTTTTAAGAGTTATTACGGATACGTTTTATTTATCCAATAAAGTGACGTTAGAAGGATGTTTCAATTTAATTTATCACATTACATGTAATTTAAATGACGCGTGCAAAAGCAGCTAGCAAAACCTAGTTCGTACATCAAAAATTGTTTGTAACATTATATGTATCATGAACACTAATCAGTATAATTAAGCCAAAAATATATATTTTAATTTCAAATATAATCTATACTAATATTATAAAGAGGTGAAGTTTGTGAGTTTGTGAGGTTATAGGGGGTAATCTCTGGATCTACTGAACCGATTTAGATGAAATTTGTTAAAAAGATAGTTTGAGACCCTGGGAAGGACATAGGATACTTTTTATCGCGGAAATCATTCCTTAAGGGGATGAAAATTATGAGATGAAAGTTTGTATGGGGAATCAACCTAGGATAGAACCCGAGCGAAGCGAGGGATAATCGCTAGTATATTATAATAACAGATGGAAAAATTGGTATTTTCAGCTCACGATTATTTCATCAAGAAGCTAAAATTTGTAATTTCTAATTAAGATTACTATAGTAAAGTCGAACATAACTTACAATAAGTTGGTACTTATACGCTCGAAGCACATGGCATTAAGCGTTGAGCTTTAAAAATAAATCGCTTCATTTGATAGCGCCGGAATGATGGTAGAATTTAATGCTCCATATTTTATTGGCTTTATGATTGAATAGAACATTTATTACTAACAGCTGCGTTATTTGATGATTGATCGCTTTTAAAACACTGAATTCAATTAAAGATAATATTTATTTACTAGAAATTTTCTATTATATGTTTTCACACAGTTTTTTTTAATTGTTATTAGTTGTAATTATTGTTTGTGCTCATTATTAGTTGTCTTATTCAGCCATTCTTTTTGAGTAATTTTACGTCCCAGTAATGGCCACGAACCTTTTCCATAATCTCTTCCTCGTTTAGTACATTTGAAGAATATTATCAGTTTAACGATTTGATTAAATTCGCATAATTTCTTTGTTTTTTTTTTGCAATCTAAAATAATAAGGCAGCGTCTGAGATTGGGTACAATTTATAATCAGGTCAGCACAAATCGAAAATCAACAAAAGCTCTCTCCATGTGGACATCGAAAGCGCTATCTTTTCTTATTTAGATATAATCTTCGTACCTACTTTGTGTCATGTAATTATATTACATTTGAAATCCTTCGACGAAAGAAAATTCTATTAAGTACCTACTTACCAGAAATATTACGTAGAAAGTATTATGAACAAGCATAACAAAAGGACTTTATGCTAATACTTTGTAAACTTACCAGCTTAACAACAAAATACACATTGTTTGAAAACAAATTATAAATATTTTTTGTCGATGATATAATATTTTCTCTTGAAATTTTTAATTAAAAGCTTCTTTCTAAATCTTCCCATAATACAGAGCTTACTCTTTTTAACATCACTTTATTGTGTTTTTGATTAACAAGTTTGATATCTGTATCTGTATTGATCGCTCGGACCTTCGAACCTATCGAGAAATGAACTCAATCATAATCGAAGAGTAACGAATCCAAATCAATGGTTATTATTGTTTTAGGTTTAATGTACTTGCTTAAAGTTTCTGTATACATTTGTTTTTTGTTTAGACTATATTGAAATGGCATGATTTCTCAAATATATATTTGAGAGATCATATCATATGTGTAGGTATGTACTACTTATAAAGTAGACTAGCCACTTACGTCCCTACGTTTTTTTTAGTGGAACTCTAATTCTTTTTCTAGAATACAAGTAGCCTATAAGTTGTTCCTCACTACCTCACGTCGCTTTCGCATGTCTGTTGCATTGTTTCACATTCGCTCAGCTACCTGGCACAGAATCTTATAAGTACCTACCGTATATAATTTCGTATGCATTTAGTAAAAAGCTGTTATTTTGATGTTACAAATAGACACTATTTTTTTTTACCTGTATAAATTACATATCTAAAAAATTAAGTTAAAATTCATACATATTTTGGTTAATTTATCTACTTTAATATATTAAGAATTCCATTTCTACTTTCTAGCCTCTGTAATATGACATCTCTCATCTCACGTTACAATATCTAATAAAAAATGGAGATCAAATTCAACTTATTTCATATCGTCGAGTTCCTTCCGTTCACGGTGACTTATTTAATTTTCTTTGATATGAGAAATGTTTATGGTACATACATACATGCATTTATACCTACGTAGATCATATTACGTACTATATTATACTATTACGTACGTACTAGATCTAAATTTATTTATTTTTATATTGAGCGTATTCCAGCGGAGTTTACAAGAAAAAAAAGTTTATTTTAAAATGCTTTCGACACCATTACTAAAATACATGCTTATACAAGGAAAATAATAAAAAGTTACCGGCCGAAGCCGAAGGAGGTGGTAGATTGATATAAACAATTTTTATTCAGTAATTTGACACCTGTAGTGACACGCAGTGACATGCGAAGTGAAGTCATTATAAGTAACAAAAAGTGCGATGCGATATATGATACAAATGTGTGTGGCCGAACAGATATTACATAATTATAAGGCGTAAAGAATAAAAAGATACATAATATTACCAATAACTAACTAAAGTTAAATTATAATGAAAGTCTCTACTGTCTCTACATCTAGAGATCTAAGATCTAACTCAAAATTCCAATCAAAGTATGTATATATACAAATATATTAAGTATTTTACCGCCTAGATAATGGGCATTTAAAAGAGTTGAAATTGGTTTTGATGGACCGCGTGCCGCGTTGCGTATCTATTTTAACGCACAGTGATCATTTTATGTCAGTAACGAGAAATAATACTAGAAATAAGTTAAATAAGTAATAACTTTTACATATTCAGGAGAAAAGGTTCTAGGTTTGTTTTTTGTATAAAATTGTTTATTTATGTGAAATTGGTGGTAAAAATGTAAATTTGATGAATCAGACCGAACTTTACAGCCAATAAAATATCTAACTCAATTTAGAAAATCGAGTAGGCATTTTCTGTATGTCATAAAAATAGCTTTTTCCTGCTTCAAAAGTACTGACGTTAACAAAACGGTACAAAACAATTGTAAGCCTTACTTGAAATAGGACCCCTTAGTAGCAGACTACAGTAGTATAGTCTATATAAGATACAATTTTTATAGTCCAAAGTGTTGAAATCAGATCATTTTGTTACGTAAAAAACATTTTATCTTAATTTATCAGGTAAACGAAGTAGCTCGTCCGCGCCTTCTTTTCTTATTTTAGTCTTAACATATAAAAACTGTTAACTATTTATAATTTTAAGCAAAATAAAAACAACATTTACTAATAAAATTAAATAACATTATCATTACAAATTATAACTATCCATATATTTTGTATAAAATTTTTCCACATCATTGTACAAAACCTGTAAGAAGAAATACTTGATGTCGTTCCCATTCATTCGTATCATCTTGGCATCCGAGATGTAATTTATTTTTACATACAAGAATTGCGTTTTCTTCATCTCAGTGATGGAATGCGCTCAGAGCGTTTTAACACGCTTATGTCTTATCATAACAGACAACACATTTACTTTTAAAAGCCAGTCAAGTATTGCACCAATATATATGTACGTATTTATGGACTGATGAAAATCCTATTTTTGTGCGTATATTTGCGCATTTCATGCTGCAGTGTAACTAAATAATAAGGCTTAAGTAGCAATTTCAATTCACATATTATGTACATAAAAGACAGTATAAAAATTACTAGGTAAGGGTGACAATATTGTTTTGTCTTTTTTTTGTTCGCAAAATCTTTTAATTCTAAATTTGTACACGCACGTAGCCATCTCAAATAAAATAAAAATAACAACAAAAAAGGCACGGACGTATGTCTGTGGGTGTTAGACTTTTTTTATTTGAATAAAAAAAATTAAAAAAAATTGTTCAGTGCTGCCAAAGATATAATTTAACTAAAAAATAATTAATTAAACATAGATTTTGTCTCTGTTAATATTAATATTATAATGAATTGTGTATCAACTTACATAATATACATA